CTCGATCGTGAGCCTTCAGCTAAATGAGTTGACTTAAACAGTGAGGGTCAGCATCCAGTGTTGAGTGATGAATACTGTAGGCTAATAATCTCGGGGGATTATCTACCTCTGTACTTTGTTCAGTTCTCTAACTTAGGCATTGAATTCGTAGCTGATCCCTTCATATGGCCTGTTCAACGAACAAAGTAGATACGAAGCATGATTCAGTTCACTGTATACAGTGATAAGTATTATAGTGGGCTATTGTTTCAACAACGAAAAAAATACATAAACGATTACTAAAACAAACAGTGTCAATAAATGTAAATACGAGGAATCATAAGGAAACTTATCATTCACTAATCACAGTAAGTGAAAGAGTTCATACAAGCGTTAAGAAATTAATTACCTAACGAACTAAATGACTACTCATGACAAAAAATTATTTTCCGTATTTGGTTAATGAACAAACTAGCTTTTGTGCAGTAAAATTCTACAAACCAGTTAAATCTTTGATGTTGTATGTATAAAACTGTTGACATTTAATTATCATTGCAATAATCAGTCAGCTGTTGAAGTTGGACCCGAACAGATTTGAGCAGTGATCAGTAGTTTCTCGCTGTTCAAAATGTGAAAGATTATGTCGTCTAGAAGGCCGATGAAGATTTAGCCATTAAACTGTCAATCATAGATGAGACAAAATCTACTTTAGCTAAATATCCTTTTGCACATGCCTTGGATCAGTCTAAAGTTAATTGTTTTAATGATGTGGAATTTCCCTAAAGTTGTATTTCCATAAAGAATCTTACAGCAAATGATAGTCAGTGTTTGATGATATTAGATGGTTGGAGGCAATCGGTAGGAAGCCCCCGACCTAGGTTTCGTACTAGTTGGCACTCGTCAGCAAGGCGTATCTGCAACCTTGAAGGAACTCATATCCCTTCTAAGATTCGAACCCGCGTCACCCAGTGCCGCTACAGTCAGAGACGTTACCACTGAGCTATTCGGGCTCGCGATTGACCTCCTGTAGGACTGTAGTGAATACTTTGATTGGACACTAGTAACTAGTGCAATGTGTCTAGTCCTTTCTTTGGTGCAGACTGAATTCTATCATCAAATCAATGTGCACCGTGATGGCGAACTACCTAGCATGGTGGCCACATTGCAAACCTGACTGATAGAATTCAGTCTGCACCAAAGAAAGGACTAGACACATCGCACTAGTTACTAGTGTCCAATCAAAGATAGTCAGTGTTGTTAAAAGTTTAGCCGTAAAACTTTTGAACTGCGCGTTCTCTAATCACTACAACAAACGATGTGACAGAAGTTTTGTTGGACTGTCGGCTATTTGAGGACCTTGTTCTGCAGTTGAAAAAATGCCCCTGGTTGAAATATTAGCATAGTTAAGACATTCACACGCCGACAGTAGTTACTGTAAGCATTGCCACTGTCGAAATAACCGCCTGGTGTGATAAGAATTCAAGGAGCCATTCTTCCAGTCAATTCAGCTGTTAGAATCATTCAGATTTTCTGGTCCCATTACCACATCAAGGATTTTTAATTGTTTTTCGTTTGAAGTGAAACATAGCGGACTAAGCTTTTGAACTTTTAGTAAAGATGGCGTTGCTTTCATAGGGTGGGATTGCTAGCCTCACGTTTAACTTCCGCTTTTTCCTGGGCCTGGTCATTTCAAGAGACGTCATCAATGCTTATTTTTTATACAACTTTTCAAAAGCAAATCAGTCATGATGAATCCACTGAGACAGTATTTCCCTTTTCTATAAATTGGATTACTATAAATAAGGATCCTGGATTTGCTCTAAACCTCTTTCACGTGTGATCATGCATTCCTCTTATGTTAAGTGATCAAATTAAGTAGTAGTACATTAGACAAGAAATTCGTGGATGTGTTTTCCCAGCTACCTTTAAGCTATCGACTTAACAAATTTACATGTGGACGAATTAATCGCCTGGTTTAAACGCAGTGTGACACCGATAAGATGAAAGACTTTGATTTAGAAGTATCCACTGAATTTTGTGCAGAATGATAATACAAACTCTAGGTCTATACCATATAGTATAGGGGAGGCTGCATCGCAAGAGTTGTACCAGGGGAACGTTGAGAAATACGTTTAACAAGACTTAAACTAGCTTAAGATTTCTGGTTGAGCATACAGTGTAGCTTATAACAGTATGCACTCTGGACAACTCCAGAATTATCCAGTTTGTGTAACAGTGTCAGGTTCAAAGATGTATAACCAACCGTTCTTTGTTAACGCATTGCAGCAGGACCATATTTACATGCAACTGATACAGTATAACAGCTGATGACAAGACAAACGAGCTCTCAAAAGCAAATGCTACATGGACTGTCTCAAAAGCAAGGAAAGGTTCAAAATATAATAACACAGCAATTTGTAGTCCACGTAATTATATGAATTGTAGTCTTTTAAATAATATTTACCGATGTTTAAATCGTGAGATATTGAGCGTTCAGACAAGCGCTTGTCAATAATCACCTCGTCTTGGAATAGTACTAAATAAGGAGGATTTTATTTGAAAGATAAACTTGGACAGAACAAAGAAGTGGCTTCACTCGACGGCTGTTGTATAGAAATCTGTGGGTTAGCTGGCTGGGATCCATTAGGTATAGCATAACTAGTTCCAGTGACACAAATACATCAGTGGCTTATTCGCATCTCAGTGTCATCATATTTAATTATTTGCCTGTATTTTATATTCATCTTGTCTCACATAGCATTGTCATTACTTTCATTCGTTCATCTTCTGAATTTACTAAAGATGTGAAATATAGTAGTCTGCACTATAACACAGAAATTCCTAAGTATCACAAGACCATTCCGTTCGACTGTTTGTTAGCTTATGTTCTACTCAGTAAATACTTCATTGGTACGAGAATTTAGTCATCCAAGTAATACATTAATCCTTCTAATTGTATGAGAGAAAAAACTATATTTCTTTCCTTATAATGAAACAAACCAAAATGTTATCTGCAGTTGTGATGTGAGCTCAATAAGACAGTGCAGGTCATTTTCAAATCATGGAAAATACCAATCAATGCATGAAAGCGAAAAGAACAAGAAGCTCAGAAAAGATATTTTTCCGGTGACTTTTATCCTTAAAAGCTGTACAATCGTATTATCATGCATAAGTTCATCACACAGTTACAATTATTAATTAATTCAACATAATAACAAAAGGAGACTCATCATTCAGAGTCATTTATGAAGGCAATGTGTTCCTGACTTGTTTGTAACGAGGAAGGCCTCATCTATGTGCATCACGAAGCTGAAGTTGTGTTCAGAAGAAACTAGTCCAACCACAACATTTACTATGGATCTAGTTCTATTTGGCTTCTTAGTTGTAGTTTTATAATTATCTTCATTTTCTAATCTTTAGTTATTAAAACAATTATTTCAGTTTATATCTATGGTCATCCTGTTTATACTTGTCTTCGTCAAAAACGATTTTACATATTATGAAACTCCTTTCTAATCCGACATAATTTTGTTTCTATGCCCCCTTATGATCTGTGTTTACACCTTGAAACTTCTACATCAAAGTGAAGATTATTATCTCACTTCGTTATTATGTTGAATAAAGTAATAACTATAACTATGTAAACTTATGTATAAAAATGCAATTGTGCAGCTTTGGAGGATAAAGTTGCTGAAACGGTTTCTTCCATAAGCTTCTTGTTCTTTTCTCTAGAAAGTAGTTTTATCAATAAAAATGTATACCAGAAGCGTATTTATACATTACTAAGATAGAAAATGAATGGGATTACACCGAGTAAGTACATCCACTCGATAACCACAATATTTGGCTATCCTAACCTCAGGACAGATAACTGGGTCTCAATCTCATAATCAACCGATTGAAAGTCAAATGGCTAATGCAATGAGTCACAAGGACCAAGTACCCACATTAATAAGTATGCAAAATAGTTATTTCCATGGAATTTTTAACTTTCAAATCAGAATAGATAGTGGGTAGTGATGAATTGGAGGTGTTACGTGTTTAAACTGGGCTATTTGGCTATAAAATTAAGGTAAACATCGTAGAAAGATAGCCAAAAGTAACTAATATTTCTTAGTAAGTATGTATGAAGACTGATGAATGACTATATCGTAGTACTTAAAACAAGGACAATGAGGTGGATTTGAATGCCTCAACAAACTATTGATATACCGCATACATTATGACACGTGCTAACTGCATTCAGTCACAATGGTAGTGAAGGAAATGAAGTGAGATGATATTCAGTAACCGGTTGCACTTACATGCAATTAGCAATAAACCATACTTATTGTGTGCGGACTAGTGATACGATCTAGCTCCCATGGACTAAGTGATACGGCTAAGGGTGAATAGACTTTGGACTTTCTCTCGAAATGCTGTCATTTTGTCCCGCGTTCATAACCTGTACCAGATATGTCGTACTCACTGACTGCACGCTGGCGGAGGGGTATTCCTCACAAAAATTAGAGGTGGAATGTGAACTTCTAGAGCTTATAACCTGACTGGTAAACATTCAGGTCTACCCAGGGGAGCTGGAAAACCCTGATTACAAACCTATGGTGTACACAGACTACAGAATCTTAAAGGATCGAATGGTGTGTCAACCTGTTTTGGTCACCGTCAACCATGGGAACGTAGCTCCTGACGCTGCTCCACCACCTTTTGGACCAAGCTTCAAGACATAGGCTTGGGAGTGGTCCCTTGAGTCAATCACCTGCTTCGGTCTGCGCACCAAGGTAGTATCCCAACCCTCGCACAAACTACCAGTGTGGCTCATCTCTTGATGCCCATAATGTGCCAAGTTTGTGTTTCTTGTAATTAATAGTAATAATAAGTGGTAATACCTCGTTCGAACCGGTGATCCACTGGTCAGAAGTCGAGCAACTAGACCAATGAGCCACTGCTCCACCAACAACAATCAACAAAAACAGCATGAAGAAGAATACGAAGTCATTTATCAAAAGAATTTTATTGTCTTATAAAAAGAATATATAAGTAAATAAGTAAACCAGAGAATAAAGTATTTTGCATAAAATCAAAAATTCATCAAAAGTATTAAACTAGAACAACTATCTATCTACCATGACTAGAATGTTATTATTTACAACAGGACCATCACCATTATAAAATATAACACTCACTGTTCAATTATGATATAAATGCATTACACAGTTAGAAAATGGAATAATAAAACGTGTCCATATGCTGAGAAATGCAGGTGACCTGAATAGTAGAAAAACGAGAAAAGTCATAAATCATACATGTAGTGATTAAAATGTGCCACAATTTTTAAACAAATTCTATTTAACGAAATTGCGGAGGCATACTTAAACTAACTGACAGTAAGCGGTTGCTGACAATCACTGGCAAAGTGAATCTGTAACTTCATACAAGAATTCCCTTTTACAAGTTTAAGCAAAGAAAGAAAAAACATTGATGCAAATAAAATGCACCGATTTCATTTCGTTGGTCTCCATCAGCTGCATGCAACCTGTAATCGTTAATAAATAAAAGTCAGTGTAAAATCTAGCATACTTTGGTCTATCAACAAGCATACTGTAAGTGTCATGGTGAGATAAAACATCATGATGACAAGGCATCTGAACAGTAAGTATATATATATATATATTGTTAGAGGAAAGTTTCTAGAAAATTAATTGACAAGTTTGTTGTTGGAGTAGTAACACAAAATTAGTAACAATTACGTAGTTAGATAAGAGAAGATCAAAATTTGGTGTGCAAGAGGTCAAATGAAAAGATGATGGTGTAATATCATAAGGTCAAGGATAATTATCTCTTATAGAAATCAAACAGGAGCAAAACTAGTATCTCTACTCCGAACAACCTCCTCTTTGGTACAGTCAAAAATCGACAAGTATTCCTCATATGTTACCTCCAACTGTGTATACCCATTCACATTTATCTGCTGGAGCAGCTACATTGGAAGAATGGAAAGAAGGGCCTACGTCAGATTCCTCGAACATGTACCAAGGAGCTTTCCGTAAAAGCCGATAGGCAGTTTAGGCTCTTCAATTACCAAACACCTGATAGACAATGGACATCGAGTAGACGCGCTGGCATCATTCAAAGTAATTAACAGACAAATTAGCCCAGGTCTTCTTCAGTTCACTGAAGCTATCTCAATAAAACGACTGAAACCTGACCTATGTGTCCAAAAGGAATCTGTCGGTGGACTCCAGTTATCCTGTAATAACTCATTTCAACTCCCCATCTTTTTTCCTGTTTTACTTCCATAAGAGATAATTATTCTTGACCTTACGACATCACATGTACGTCGATGGCACAGCGGTAGAATGCTCACCAACCACGTCTGTGGTGCGGGGTTCGATCCCTGACTGACTCACTCCTTTACTTCACTAAGCCAGTAATAGGACTGGTAAAGAGGGAAGGTTGGGCATGAGGTTAGCAACCCCATCCTGTTAAAAAAATAAATAACGCTGCTATAGAAACGTCAAGCCTGTAGCTTGAAGCCCTATGTTTCACTGGGAACGTGAAGGAATAAGAAAATATTATGGTATTGTACCATCATCTTTTCATTTGACCTCTTGCACACCAAATTTTGATCTTCTCTTATCTAACTACGTAATTGTTACTAATTTTGTGTTACTACTCCAACAACAAACTTGTCAATTAATTTTCTAGAAACTTTCCTCTAACAATATATATATATATATACTTACTGTTCAGCTGCCTTGTCTTCCTGATGTTTTATCTCACCATGACACTTACAGTATGCTTGTTGATAGACCAAAGTATGCTAGATTTTACACTGACTTTTATTTATTAACGATTACAGGTTGCCTGCAGCTGATGGGGACCACCGAAATAAAATGTATGCATGTTATTCTGCACCAATGTTTGTTCTTTCTCAACCCGAATATTTAACTGTTGGAGATTCAAACTTACATTACTTAGTTTGTAAGTACACGCATCTGTCTCTCACTTAACAGGCTAGTAGTCATTGAATAAGTAACCGGTGTAACTATTGACTATTCAGAGATAAAAGAAATCGCCTCAGGGTTACAGATACTACTGAATTATAACAACTAGTACTTCCTACCGATGAATTTAGAGCATCTAACATTAAACAAATTAAACGACTGTGTCGTATCCCCTAAATTAAACACCACATCGGTCAGCTGATCCTACAGATTCGGCTGATATTTCAGTGCATAGAAATTTCATGCAGTACTGTTAATCAAGACGACTATGACAAGCTTCAGAGTATCGTTGAAATGCTGGCGATATGTATGTTGATCTGAAAGTAGATACTAACAGTTTTTAACTGATACTGGTACAAGAAGGATTAACTAACACTCAGACATTTCTTGAAAACACTTGAGTTTCCTCTCTATAACAAAAGCAAGGATTAGTAAAGAGGGAATATTAATTAATAAATAAGCTATTCTAGTTACCTTCCTGGTGGTAAAGCTTTAACTGTATTATGATAAGCATCAAAAAACAGTTGAACTTCTTTTGATGGCCATTTCAATGCACGCATTTGTTCAATTATCTAAAATAAAGCGAATATAATATTTCTAAAATTAAGAAGACAGAGATAAAGGCAAGACACATTTATACTCAACTAACACCTACCATTAATACTTTATGATCGTTTAATTTAGATATAATGGAGAAAATTTGTAGCTCAGACGGATGACTTTAGTGTAGTTGTATTGTCTGAGAGGGATGGTTTAGTTGCGAAGCTTTCATTGCCTTACCAGACAACATCCTCAATGCATACTTCAATCTGAAGTGGTTTAATTACTTGACGAATAGTAATTAACTGAATTACCATTAGATTAAACCGAGAGTTGAGATTATTGAGATCATGAATAGGGTATGAATCTATGGGAGTCTATGAGTATTGATCCGAATCGTACACTTTTTCTAAAATTCCTTCACGTTCCTAGTGGAACATAGGGCTTCAAGCTAGGGACTTGAAGTTTCGGTAGCAGTGGTGTTTATTTTTACGAGATGGGGTTGCTAGCCTCATGCCCAACCTTCCCTCTTTACCGGTCTTATTACTGGCTTAACGAGCCAAAGGAGTGCGTCGGCCGGCGACCGAACGCCGGACTACATCCGTGGTCGGCGAGCATTCTACCGCCATGCCACCGACACACCAAATCGTACATGATCAGGGTAAATTATCTTACCTGATGATGATGCCTAAAGAATTTCATTAGTTTGACAGCTCCTAACCAAGGGATCACGAATCCCTCATCTCCTTTCTCAGTATGAACAACTACATAGTATCATCTATCACATAATAAGTGTGGACTGGTAAATGAAAGATCCGTCTCCGGGTAATTGAGTTCAAACAACAGTCTGAAATCAATCCAATAACTCAGATGTATTAACTTTTTGTCATCTTGGAAATATTAAACACTTTCATTACCTACGCCTTTTCTTTTTATCCTTTCTGTCGAACTGACATTTGTTCCGTTCACTTACAAAAGATGTAAATTCTGACAATTTGGAATGTCAAAGTTCTATATCAGATTCTAAGTTGATGTATTTATTATCTGTCTATCTATCAGTAAATAATCGGCACAAAAGTATATTATACTCTAATAATAAAAGAATTTGATTACTGGTGTAATTCGGTTTCCCGAAGCATATTTCTTAGGTACCGAGCTATGAGCTGCACTTATTGTATGACGGTAGACGATACTGCACAGTTGCTCAGGCTGAATTAAGTAGAGTGGAATCCGAATCTCCAATCAACTGATTCGGAGTCGAGCTAATGTGCCACTTCTGTTCATCACATTCTATAGAAATATTTAGACAAATTGTAATCCATTAGACTGCTACTACTATTGTATCATTTTAAATATGAGTGTTAAAATCATAATTCAGTAATATTTATTAGAAATTATGTGTCGGTAGTTTAGCGGTAGAATACTCTCCAGACACACACACACACAAGGTCAGGAGAGTCTGATCTCCGGTCTACTCACTGGTTAACCACCCTGCTTGGCCGGCAGTTAGCCCGGTAAAGAGTGAAGGTTGGGAGTGAGGCTAGTAACCTCCATTTCGTAGAAAATAAATACCACTGCCGATAAAACTTCAAACCTTAAGCTCTATATATTCCACTCGGAACACAAAGGATTGAAATTAAAAATTTTTTTAAAAAATACTACAACTTTTATGAGTAAGAGTTTTCTTTTGTCTCATTCTTTTGTCATAGAAAAGAAAAGGCGTTCAGCAAAGAGTTACTCTTTTCGGCGATATCATTCTCAAGCTGTACAAACCGCAAATTTATAGTAATTTTTCTTGGCAACAAAAGGAATATTTCCAAAGATGCAATTGGTAATTTTTGACAACAAATTACGTAATTTAGAAGGCGTTAATCTGTTAGAAACTAAAATAAAGTTACAAAAGTAGGTTGGGTGACGTAATCTAATTGCTAGGGTTCAATGAAAAAAATGAATGAGAGTCAAGTTAATAATCTGAGTAGAATTCACTTGAAAATGGGTGAGAGTTAAGTTGATAAGCTGAGTAGAATTCACTTAAAAAAAAAAACAAAAAAACAAACGAAAATGGAGTTAGCAACAGTCGTCATGAGGGTAGAGATTTTGTGTCTGTAACTTTTGTGTCTGTAACTGTCTTTTGTGTCTGTAACTGGGCTTGTAGTATTTAATAAAATTTATCTTATATCCCTCTAATATCAATCTTCTCAATTAATCTCTTCAAGAACAATATCAAGTATATTATATTTTATTTTGATTATAGCTTGAAACCACACCGTATTTTTCGGTACAGGTATGGATATTGGCAGCCCAAATTTTGCAGACCGACCATTGATATCAGGTGTGCATCGGTGGGGGGATCGAACCCCGGACCATGTGCATGGTCGGCGAGAGTCCTTGCAACCGCTGTGCCACCGACGCACATGAATATGAAATAACCAATGAATGTTGATGTCTTACAATTTGATCACTAAGCAGAATATGTTTGTATGAAGTTTAAGACGGCAATGGGCATAATTCGGAAACGATATTCAAGAAACACGCATAAAAGTCACAACCAATCAAATGATTAATGTTAAGTCAGCTAGTTGAACACTTAAACTTCTACTATCTATTCTAATCGTATTTTTAACGTATACTGTTCTTGAATGATGATTTCCTTTTAACACGTGAATGATGATAGAAGTTTCATGCTTCTTACACGACAGGTGAGGTCATATGAACTAGTCGGAACCATTTTTTTTCAAAAACACTTCCGACAGCCTGCTTAAAATTACTGGGTTACATAAATTTTTGTTCATAATAATGCATAAACTATTCTCCATTTCTTATCACTTTAATCATCGAATTATGTCTTTAGATCGCTACATACATGTACACTTCTTGAGGGAAATGAAAGAAAAATGTCTTAGTGGATTGGATCTTGTTTTGCATGAAGCAATGTGATGTCACATGATATACTGCCAACTACTATTCTTTCTGAAAATCCTGTACCAAGAGTGAATATTTCGCAGTTTAAATACACAAAGAATTCTGTACTGTTTTAACATACTGTTTACAATAAACCTATTATATTATTATATCTGTGGTGAGAACTGGCTGCTAACTAAATTGGTAGATCGTAATTTTCGTCAATGTTTACGTCCTGAATATTGGTCGTGAGAAAAATATGAACAAAGACTGATTCAACAACCAGTCACAGTAGACTTTGAGTAGGCGGGTACAATTAGCATATAGATGATTTGACATTCAAGAAACAGCCACAAAGAGATGAAAGATTAACTTTCAGTGAGAAACAACCAATCAGAAGACTGTGTTTTTCTGCTAACAATAATCTATAATAATGTACATGAAAAGTTATAAATATGTGTTGATTTTCCTTAATAAACGATCTGTTGCCTGACCCTTGTCTTCTGTCGTTACATATCTACCAGTGAGGTAGTCGTCTGGAGAGGAAGGACTAGTCGATATGTCTAAAGATGAACCAAGTACAATCCGCCAACAGAAAGATTTTTTTAAATGTGCACAAAAAAGTTTCAATAAGCGAATTCACCTCTGAGATATTTGTATTTTTGTAATGAACAGACTATTGACTACAACTACACAAACTAATTGCAAATCAATATCAGATTAAATCGTCAGAGAATACAAAATATATACACACTGGAAGTTGTTTTCTTTAAGGTAATAAATATTCCCAAATGAAATGCTTACTTTTTCATTGATATCTAAGAAAAAGTCACGCATTTCTCGAGCATGACTTAGACCACAGGCTAGATTTATGATTGCCTTTGAAATAGGCTAAAAAGAAAAAAGGAAAAGTTAACAAATATATCATAGAAAATAAAATTATAGCAGAGAAATGCCCTGAACTAATTAGTCCTATAGGCAAAATAATAATGGTTTGAAAGGCATTTAAAAAGAAAGCGAAAATACTGTTGCATTTTATTAACACCAGAAAGCTGGTTTTCAGAAATATTTTTTAGTAAATCTTCTGACACCAATACTTGGATATCAATGAGATGCTCACTGGCAATTGGCCCTATTCAGGTAGGTAGTTACCTGGGGTTCAAGTGGGAAGTCGTGACCAGTAGAGTGCAGCAGGTCGGGTGTGAGGACAAATACTCGCCGAAGACATTGGCTAGTGGTTGAGCCATATCGTGAATTGGCAGAAGTTAGAATTCATGGGCCATTGGATCGGCTCCCAGTGGCTTAATGGTATACGACCTCGCCTTGTAACCAGAAGGTCCTGGGTTCCAACCCCGGCGGGTGCCTACTACTGAAGAGTCCCAAACTAGGACGAAACAGCTGTCCAGTACTCCCAGCTTGTTTTCCAATGGTTTTCTAACCAATGTCAGCTCATGATGAAATCCTGTAACCAATCAACCAAATCCCTACAAACCAATACTTGAATATAATATAACAGTTGACTTTCTTCAATGAATACTGAAACGTCTACAACCACGGCTCATCAGGAAGTAGAACAAGAATTGCTGCCACACACACAATTAGACATTGGAAATATCTATACAAATCTATAAACTAAAAGGTTTTAGGACAAGAATTATAATATTAACTCTGTCAAAAGAAGCATTATTCTACAGACAAATACATCCTAACAATGCAGAAGATCGCGAATGTGCGTTCGTTCAATTTTTCATGCAGCTACGTTTTCAACGTCGGTGACACAGCGGCAGAATGCTCATCGACCACGGAGTTCGATTCCTGGCCGATGCACTCCTTCACCTCGCTAAGCTAAGACTGGTAAAGAGGAAAGGTTGGGCATGAGGCTAGCAACTCCATCCAAGTAAAAAATAAACACCACTGCTACCGAAACTTCAAGACTCTAGCTTAAAGCCCTAGGTTCCACTGGGAACGTAAAGGAATGAAAAAACAAACGTCTTCAACATTTGTCATCCATCGAACAGATAATTTTATACCACTCAATACGAAAAATCAAATCGCAATCACTCAGCTGCAACCATATATCAATACTTATAGTCTGCAAAGTATTTCCCATACAATCATAAAATAGTAGTCTTAAACATAACACAGCCAATGAACTAAGCTGTATATCATCAATGCCAACGAATATCAGAAAACAAGAAACAAATATATTCAGGGTATCAGTTAAAAGAACCAACAAATCTTAATAAAGCAGGATATAATGAATGTATCCAATTGGCTCCATGTTCAATCGTACTTCAACCATACTCAGTCATCTTAAATACATAAGGTCATCCGATTTACTTAAAATTGTTTAGTCACAACCAAAATAATGTTCTTTCCTATTGCATAATTCGGAATATCTCTCTTGTTATTTGAAACTCAAAATTTTAAGGATATCAAATTCCCATAGAACTACTCAGCTAAACAGGCTACATCCAGTGTGACCACTCACAATGGAGATATGCGACTGAGGAATAAACTGCAATGAGTCAGTCATAGCTAAAGCAAGGCAAAGCTGAAAATATTTTACAGGTCATGTTCAGACAGATAGGGGAGTGGTGAAAAGAGTATGGGAGATTCGATTGAACCACAATCCATTCCACTCAGTATCTCATCAACGCCTTCAAATTAACATACAGTTTTCTACTGAAATTAAAAACAATCATGAGTTGATAATAATCAATAAAGAATATCAATTTTCAGGTAAAGGAGAGGTGAAAATAATTACGGGATTCAAGATTAGTTAATATGTAGAGGTTAGTAACAGGTTACTACATCACCAATAATCTGTAAAATAATGATGATTATAAAGAAAAGATGAATGGATTACGTTAGAATACCAAAATACGGATAGACCAATTGAATCAGTTAAAATAGTGGTCACAATAAAATAAACAACAGTTTCAAGGGATGGTTACAATGATAGAGGGAAAAGTTATACATTTTATGGGAACCGTCATGTCAAAGAAATGGGCTGCACAGATTCCTCTTGAACATATAGTTTCATCTATTCAGGTGAACTACAATCACCTCTGCTGTATGTGAAAGTCGGATTCGGAGTCGTAGAGGTGAAATACGATAAATATCGTTAAAAGTTGTGTTAGTCTTTACTTAGTACCATGTATCGATGAAGCGAGATAGTATGGAGCTACGTATCGCCCTACTAGGTACTTCGCCTAACCAAGATGAGTAATGTTCAGTAATTCAACTCTCAATGCAACTAGCTCCAAAGGAGCTGTTAAACTGGCAAATACATTTGAAAGAGATGAAATTAGGCATTGATATAAGAATAAAACTTTTGCACTGTGGTAGAGCATAATTCCATTATGGGTAAAATTTGTTTTGTTTATTGCTCATAATCATATCAAGGTATGTGTGTATGTACCTTGATATGATTATGAGCAATAAATTGTGCTCGAAACGTCATCATTAAACATTACTGTATAACACTGTGAGACTTTATCAAAACAAATTTTACCCATAATGGAAGTATGAAATTAGGCAGTTTGTCTTGATTTCGCGAATTAAGTATTGGTTGGCTGGTGAATAAATAGCACAACCTTGTTGCAATAAAAGTCCTCTGGAAGATACTCCTAAGATTTTATGATACAATTTCATTGTTAACATCTCCCATAAACTGCAGTCTTTGGAGCACTGATTTTTCCAGAAGTGTAGGCCCTCCGGATTTGTTGCTTGCTTAATCCATGGGTTTATCGAGAATGTCATTAGATGTTCCTTTCTGCAAAGTAAATCATGAATATTACCGAGGCCTTCGTTGAATGCTTCGTCCGAATAAATAACTCTTACATTATAATCTTAACATTTAATCAGATCTCGTTAGCATTGTAGAAGGACGAAACTCAGAGAGTGAGTTTCTTGTCCAGTTGTTGTAGGTTTGCAGTGTATGGTTCTACTTACTGTTTCATCTACTCGTTTTATCATTAAAACATTTAAAGACGAGATAAAGTCACTCTGCCCTTCTTTGTTGGATTTCTCCGATAGATATTTCGCTTCATAGGGCCAAGTTCCAAAAGACCTAGTGGTGGTCAAACTGAAACATGGCTTCATCAGTCAATGAAATCCACAACAGTTATTTAAAGCCAGTCACGTAGGGATGGGGTCCTCGGGATGGTAAAAACCAATGGCTGGAGACAATTGGTGATATGGCTCAAAATCGTTCTCAATGGTGCAGATGCATTCACTCTTTGTGATTTATTATATCCAATAAAACTTTATTGTTCTTCCATATTAGTATTCTTTTGCCTCACACTTGTGCTTATTATCTCTCTCTTTCTGTTTGTTGAATCTCTGTAATCTCTTCTCTTGCTTTGTTTGCAACATGGAGTGTGGCCACTCGAATTGCTGCACATTTGTGCAAAGTTCTATGTCGGATACAGTCCGTCAGTTAGTTCTTTAAAATTATGAATGTATCTGCCACATAGAGACAACAGAAGTCCAGATAACCTATGACATCTTTCAGATGGTCAATTGAGTTATGATGTGGTGAGTTCAACTCAAATCGTAGAAATGAGAGACAAGCAAAGTTACACTGTAGGGGGAGAGGCTAAAACTGAAAATCACGTAGTCAAATGAAAGACGGAGTAAAGACATCCAGTTATTCAGGGCAAAGAAAGACTGATAACTGCTTCTTTCTGAACACATAAATCAGGTTTCAGGAGTTTGATAGTGATCGCTTCGGCAAAACTTGAGGAGAATTGAACGATTTCGTCTATTGGTAATTTCGAAAGATTTCGTGATGTCCACCTTATGACCTGTGTTCATAAGATGTCTGGCAATGGCACTATTATAAACGTTTGTTCCCTTGCCACATTTTAAGAAAATCGAAGGTGTATCCTGCAACCGCAGATACATGTAAATTTGTACACACAGTTGGAGTTAACATGACAAGGGTATCTGTCGACTTTTGACTCAAACACTACCCGATGAACGGGAACCAACTTCGCTACTGGATAGGGTCTGAGATATTCAATCTTCTCTCAACTATTGCTGCAGTATTATCACCTTTAAAATCGAGTTAAATGAAGATAGGCTTCTTTTCCAATGCCATTTGTTTGTCATTTGAACCTTGACATCTTCCGTATTTGTTAATGAATTTCTGAGGGTAACCGTTGTTTCTCAACATCTTTCTGAGTATCGGAAATTCTTCCTATAATTTTTCTGCAGTGCATATTCTCCTGACTCTATTAAACACAGTTTCTACTAGTGCTCATTTATGGCTATTTGGACAAAAACTATTAAAATCCAAGTATTGCCTATTACATGTCGGCTTTCTATAAATTGACCTCTGAAGACTATCATCTTCGAGTCGTTGCGTAGCAATTCCAACGGAATGAAACTTTCCTTCATTTTCATGTTCCATAGTAAATTCACTATTTGTACGTACGTCGTTGAATAATCTGAGTAGGTAGAACGTATGATTTCATTGTTGCACACTACGAATGTGTCATATACATATCAGCAAAGGAAGTTCTTTCGTCGATTGCATGCTCCAACTTTGTTCTCTCAAGGTTGGGCATGACTATGTCTGCTAAAACAGGTCTAAGTGGACTGCCCACAGCTACACCATCTATTTGATGGTAAAAGCCCTATACAGAAACACCTCAGGTAGAGTGAGGGCATACAACCAACTATCACCACTGTTCCCAACCAACAGTGGGGTTAGACAGGGTTGCCCAATCTCACCATTTCTCTTTAACTTTGCCATCGATGACATTCTGGAGTCAGCTCTGAAGGATGTGCGTGAAGGTGGTGTAGATCTGCTACCTGGAGATAGACTTTTCGACCTCGAGTATGCAGACGATATCGTCTTACTGTGCGATAGCATGCAGGCTGCCCAAATCGCACTCAATCAGTTGGCGATCAGTGTCTGTAAGTATGGTATGTGCTTTGCGCCGTCTAAGTGCAAAGTACTGTTACAAGATTGGCAGGAGCTTGTACCTGCACTCACTCTTGCGGGTGAACCGCTTGAAGTTGTCGATAAGTTTGTGTACCTAGGTAGTTGTGTGAGTGCTGGCGGAGGGGTGACGGATGAGATTTCCAACCGCATAATGAAAGCGAGGGTGGCATACATCAACTTGAGCCACCTCTGGCGCCGTCGCGACGTTAGCCTGGCTGTCAAAGGTCGGGTATACAATGCTTCGGTGCGGGCTGCGCTGCTCTACGCCTGTGAAACCTGGCCTCTCCGAGCTGAGGATGTGAGGCGACTCTGCGTGTTCGATCACCGCTGTCTCCGCAGGATTGCTTGCGTTCGATGGCATCATCGCGTGAGTAATTCTGAGGTTCGGCGGCGTGTGTTTGAACACAGTGGAGATCACCATTCATTGAATGTCGTCATCTGGAAACACCGGCTCCGGTGGCTTGGACATGTGCTGCGAATGTCACCCCAGAGGCTTCCGTACAGGTCTCTGTTCGCTAGCCCTGGGACGGGTTGGAAAAGGCGGAGAGGTGGTCAGCCCATGACGTGGCGTCGTGGGATGAAGGATATTTGTGCTAGATTAGCATCGGTTGGTGTGTCACGACTCCCTGGTTGGGGTCTGAGAGATAGCTCAAATCGATGGCTCGAAACGTTATCGGATATGGCCAAGAATCGTAATCAATGGCGAATGTGTTGCGATTTCCTTCTTTCTTCCATTCCCGATGATAGTTAACGAACACTGTTTGAACCTGTTAAGAATGAGTGTTTTCCTTCCAGATGAAGTTCATTATTCGTTCTCTACTTATATATATATTTTTCTTTTCCTGCCTTCCTTTTTTTTTCTTTTTTCATCTATGTTGTTTTATTATTATTGTGTGGCGCATCCTTCTTGGTGCCATATTGTACCAAGTTTTAATGCGTTTAAATAAATAAATAATAAATAATTTGATGGTAAAGAGTGTTGCCTAACTGGAATTGTAGATTCATGGACAACACTACATATTAACTGATCTTGAATCCCGTAATTATTTTCACCTCTCCTTTACCTGAAAATTGATATTCTCCATTGATTATTATCGACTTATAATTGTTTTTAATTTCAGTAGAGAACTGTATGTTAATTTGGAACCGTTGATGAGATACTGAGTGGAATGGATTGTGGTTCAATCGAATCTCCCATACTCTTTTCACCACTCCCCTATCTGTCTGAACATGACCTGTAAAATATTTTCACCTTTGCCTTGCTTTAGCTATGACTGATTCATTGTAGTTTATTCCTCAGTCACATATGTCCATTGTGTATTCCTTCTCAGTTTATGTAGTCATACTGAATGTAGCCTATTTAGCTGAGTAGTTCTATGGGAATTTGATATGATTAAAATTTTAAGTTTTCAATAACAAGAGAGATATTCTGAATTACGTAATAGAAAGGGAAACTAAACAGGTGGAAACTAAAGGAGGAGAAGGTAGGCAGTTAGTTCAAGTGATGCAGCATGTTTGATAAACCTGAAGAGGGTTCAAGTAAAATCGAATATGGGTTCAATTTTGTAGATTCATTGTATCTTTCTTTATCAACGTTTTTTGGTTGTTTTTTACAGGTTAGTAAGACTTGTTGGTTATTGAATGTAGAAATTATTAACGATTACAGAAGTAAAGTTACCTGACAGAATATACGTGTCAAAATAGAGGGCATAAATGTACATAGCAATGTTGTAATGTCTGAATAAGAAAGGTAGGCTTACTTTAAAGTTTGGTTCTAAATTTATTAAAATAATCCTTGCTTGAAGTTCAGTAAGACTACGAATAACAAATCTGCAAAATAATATAAAAATGAGTACAAAATAAATATTAGAATTCTTAGGTGTTAGAAAAATGATAATACAGTTTTGGAAGAACATAGAAGTAACGAAAAATTTGCAATTTAAATGAAGTTTTTGTAGCAGAATATTATTCAATGGTGATGGATGACATTGCATATTCACATGACAGAGGAAACAATTACTGCCTAAAAAAATTCTAATGCTTAACTCTAAGTAATGCAATTCATTTATTCAGTACAAGGCTTTCTTATACACCCGGTAGTCATAAGACGCACTTCATATATATGCGGGTGTTTGTAGTGATATTCGGTTGTGCATACAGATTTAGGTGGAGAAGGCAGAGGGTGGGGGGAATCAAAGATTCATCGAGCCAATGAGTGACATCCCTATCATGGATTGTAATACGAAGTTGTGTGAGAGATATAATATTTCATATAATTCTAGTCATTAAATTGAATGCTAATCAATTAAAATGTGGACAACAAATTGATCGAGTGCATAAACTGACAGGCCTAATTGTGTAACCACATTCTGCTCAATCGAGGTTAAGAAATAAACACAACAGTTACAGTGTCTATAAATACTAATATCTTTTTACCTACTCTACAATAACTTACTGAATTAATGTATAATCACAGTTTGGAAGTACAGCTTTGAATAAAAAGTGACAGAGTTTGTTATTATTTCCTTTGAAGGGTGGATTTCAACAACTAATTCAACAACCGAACGCATAACATTCAAGCTATGCATAAATTTCCAACTAGGTTTAGTAGACTGATAAGAGAAGTGATGTCTTAACGACAAGTTAACATTGTTAATGACTATTTGAGTCAAGGGCCAACCTTCAACTATTTCAAGATGACTGTAAAAAAGTCTAACCACAAGCTGTCAGTTAGACAGATGAAGGTTCTTGAAGCAGTAATAATCTGCTCCATAAGTCAGCCAAATTCCCACTGAATCTAGAAGAATTCTACTCCTAGTCATGCAGCATCATCAGCTGAGACTTCACATAGAGCCATACATAAATTAAGAACAAGCGGTCAAAAGAATTTTGCTCACATCTTCATGTAATCGAAGCTCTAGCAGTCAATGAGGATAAACTTGAAAATTGTGTTGAAAAACGTTTTATCTAATCTCTTTTACTGCCACAGCTTTAGTGTCAGTTTTATTTCCATGATTTGTCACATAATAAACTTTATGTGATTTTTTAAAATTTGTTTGGTAACTCATTTTCAATTCTTCGTTCTCTTATTTTATACCTATGCTTTCCCAGTGGAACATAGGACTTCAAGCAAGAGCTTTGAAGCTTCCGTAGCAGTGGTTTTATTTTTACGTGGTGGGATTGCTAGTCTCACACCCAACCTTCCTTCTTTGCCAGGCTTATTACCAGCTAAGCGAGGCTTGGGAGTGTATCAACCGGGGATCGAAACTCGGACTACCTAAGTGGCTGGAGAGCATCCTACCTCCGATCCAGTAAAGCAGAGGTTTCTTGTCAATTATTTACAAATGAACACGCATCACATACTTAATTAGCTGTCAGCCCTGTCGATTACATAAGATTATTCACTATTTCGTACACTTTAACGTTTTCTATTATTAACTGACAATAACCTCTGACCTTTTTTGTCCAACAACACTGTACATATAAACTCCTAAATAACTATACAGCTTTGACGTGAAGTTATGAGAAGAGAACTCTTCACTGATTTAGTTCCATATAAGTTACTAAGTATTGAATTAAAATAATGGTGCACTTCTGCTCAATGCTTTTAATTTATTCAAATATAAACCAAAAATTTTTCAAATATTTACCTACCAAACTAATGAATAGACGTGATAATTTATGGTTAATTATACTAGCCGACTTTGCCAGGTTGAAACGAAAGAAGTGGAGTATAATCCCACTATGAAATGCTGGAAAGTGGAATACTCAATTGAATAAGCCCCGACTTTATCATAGTAAACATTACACACTGAAATATTTTTTATTTATTAGCATGTGTCTTTTTTCAAATATTACTTTATCACTATATACCTCTCACTTAAATGACGTAGTCATTGATGATCAACATCACTTTTCGATTATCCGTAGTAACAAACGTTACGTAGTTTGGTCGGATAGCAATAGTTAACAGGTAGAACGCTCGTCTGAGTTCAATTTCCGGCCAACATACTTCGAAACGTTGCTTCACCAGTAGTAAACCCGGTTAGAGCGAGATGGTTGGACGTCAGGCTAGCAACTTCACCCGTAAAAACATACTCCAACGCTATTGAAACTTCAGAGCTCAAGTCTGAAGCTTTATGTTTTATTAGGAATGCAAAGGAATGAAAAAAACGCAGTTTAGTCTGTGAAGTCTGAACCTAGCGAAACGGAAGTGATTGGTTTGGATCGTAATTTTCATTTAAAATTCAATCATTAATCATTGTATCAAATTAGATTTTGTCAACTTACAGCCATTTGAACAGCAAAATACCTATCAGCTAACTGATATGCTATAATCAACGCATAAAGTACAGCTGAACATTGAGTGGAAGCTTTGATTTCACAGTCTGGAATGATGGTTAAATGGTGATATATATATATATATATATGCGTCGGTGGTTCAGAGGTAGGACACTGGTCAACCAAGCAAGTAGTCTGGGGTTCGACTTCCAGTCGATGCACTCCTAAACCTCGCTTGACCGGTGGTAAATCCGGTAAAGGGGGAAGGTTGGGCGTGAGTTTATGAACCCCACCCTGTACAATAACCATTGCTACTGAAAATTCAAAGCTGTAACTCGAAGCCCTATGTTCCACTGGGGACGCGAAGGAATAAAATAATAATAACAATATATATATATATATACTATTATACAGTGTTTACACCAGGTATGATCCATCAAAACAGGTTTCAAGCACCAGTTTCATCAAGTTAATAGACACACTCTTTACTGCTTAAAGAACAACAACTTTAAAATCAGCTATTAACTACTAAAAGATGATGCCAAATAGAATTTTTTGTTGAAATGAATTCTAAAACCAGAAATAATCTTTCAAAATATTGTGCCGATAGTTTAACTTTAAAAAAATTTCCCATCATTTTTATTAAATGACTCTAGGAGATCTGAACTTTGCGAATAACATGTGTTTAATATGGTACAAACACGAAGGTCTACAAGTGAAAGCAAACAAGTTGGCAGATGAAGCAGGAGGTAAAGACAGGACCTAGTATGAACATGGAGAAGGCAAATGTAATCAAGATACTTAACCACCATCACCACCAACAACAACAATCATTATCAACTGCAGAAATCTAAAGGAAGTCATTTCTTGGGCTGGATTGGATATACGCTGAGAAGACCGCTGAGTGATATCACGTGCCAGGCGCCCTCAAGTGGAACCTGAATGGGAAATGACACGTCAGGAGTCCGATGGTGATATGAAGATTGTATGACGAGGAAATAAAAACCTATGGGGGAATCATAGGACCAACTAAAAGAGGGTGAAATGGCTATGTACTGCTAAAGACCTATGTCCTACTCGGAACCCAATAGAGTAATACGTAATATTTACTAAATAGAACAGAATTGTCAAGTGTTTATCAGGATTACTTACTGTTTATGTTTATCTAAATATTCCTTCTTTTCTATTAATGGTTTGAATTCCTTTAAATCATGGAAAAATTGTAAATCCAAATCAATACCGACAAGTGTTTCACCTTTTGAATCTTTAAAGTAAGAAAAAAGTTGGAATCAAATTTTTTTTAAATTATAGCATAACCATGTAGTGATTCACAGCCAATAATAAACCTTTTTTCATATTATTGAGAAGTTAGGATAACAAAATGAGTACATATATAGTGTAAGTCAATCAAATATGTATTGAGTGTTATTTAAGGATATGGTTCGAATTCAGTGCTTTATAATGTGCTTACTGGCTTTTCAATTTTATTGGTTCTGCTAATCTGCTACTTATTTTCAGTACCAAAAAAGAAAAATACCAATGAGACTAATTCTCTGATATTGTTTACCATTTAACTTGAGTTGAAATGACTTTGGAAGGAAGGTAACACGTATCCCACTCAGCCTATTATAGCCTAAGCAACTGGGTACTATCATCAGCCTTCATACAAGAAGTGTGGCTCATAGCCCGATACCAGGTAACTTAGTTCTAGTCAGTGAACATAAAGAATGCATGACGAAAGACTAGATAATGATCTGCATTACCTGCCTACCCATACCGCTGCAGGTGGAATGATGTTGAAACCTGTATTCATCTGAGTAGGAAACTAACGTCTACACCAACGAGACACACTTTTCATAATGATAATTAAAATTTTATTCCATTAAGACGAGATTTTCTCTTATAAAAAGACTATAAATGAAGCAAGAAAGCTGATCAATAAATTCGTAGCATTTTTCCAACGCATGTCATCTCTGGCGTAGAAATGATATCCGGCTATCGATGAATGTACGTACGGACTGAGCAGCAGGCCACACTGTGTCCCGTTTATGGGTGGGATGTGGCTACTGGAATTGATTGGAAGACTCATAGAAGCTAGCTGTTTTTGATCACAGGTGTTTGCATTCTACCTCCCACGTTAAGTGGTATAAAACGATGAGTAATATTCAGGTTAGGCGTAGTGTTGAATAGAGAGGAAAATTCAGTAGTTGAAGCTACATAGATCAAGATAGCTATGACATATGACATTTCATGCCGAGCCACCCACCTTTCTCGTCAAGTGAGGTTATTTGACAAGAAAGTAAGGGGTGATCAAACTAAAATATGGGATCAATCCATGGAGTATTTAACTCCTGGTTTGAGCCACCTATGGAGGTGTAGAGTGCCTGGTTGTGGTGGTCTAGACGTTGAGAATAAATGGCTTGAGACTGTAAGTAATATGGAATTCACTCATTATTTTTCATGTGATTCTTATTTCTCGCGTACATTTCTGTTCGTTAAAGTTGCTTTGAATTTTTTCTTAAAAGCTTGGTCGATCATTTACGAAGTACTTAAGAGTTTTATGTGATATGTAAGTTTTATTGATAAATTATTAATTCCTGACATATGATTTTTTTACAGCACGTTTAATTGGTCAAACTAGAGAAGGAAAACATTAACTCATTAAGTTACGATTAATGCAGATAGAAAGTGAAATCATACTCACCTTTACCACTAGCTGACCAATGTGCCATCAATTGACCTGCACAATATGCTAAATTCTCAAATGTAAGATATGAAAGGCTCTTTTTGGACGTTTCGAATCTAGATAGATATTTTTTGAAAAATAGCATTAAAATTATTGGTAAACAACAAATTACATATGAAGGGTTGAATGATAATGAAATTATTATTATCTCCTTTAGTTCCTAGAGGAACATAGGGCTTTAGAGGCGCATCTCTATTGCGTTCGGTTCTCTGCCAACGTTTTCACCTGGCTCCACGTCTGCTCACATGCTTTCATCTCCTCTTCGCATGACCTCCTCCATGTCGCCTTCGGACGACAATGAAATTACTATCTTGTTAAATCTAGAAGCCAAAATAATTGAGGGGAGAAATATTTACTTCTCAACTAAATTCTGGTCAATGACTCCTACTCTAGCATATATAGTAATTTCAGTACAATGCAGAATTTACCAATCTAGTGATAATTTTACCAACAATAATTCGCCAATATCATGTGTCGAGCGGGTGGTAATTAGCAGTACAAAGTAGGGGTGACAGTTAGAAGGTATAAATATGTGTGAAAATCAAACACATGCATAGTTTTGGGAAGCTAAGAGTAAATGAGTGTTCAAATTGATTGCGTGAAGAAAAAAACACACCTAAAGACGAAGTAGACAGCAATATAAGATAGCGAAAACACTTATTATCCGTAAGTGGCTTAGGAAGAAAGAGGAATTGTCAGTTTTTCACACTGATGTGAACACATAAATTTGACTTTTTCAGATGGATTCTGATGACTTCAGCTATATGTAAAAGATGAACTCGTAAGGCAGAATTGAAATACAACAGATAACTTTAGACGTCATGTTATCAACAACTTAATGTTCATTATATACATGATAAGCTAAACTAGAGTCACGAACGAACCTTCTTTATCCCTTGCTTGATTATGCAGGATAATGTTCGGAAATCTGATGACAAACACCCGTAATTGTACAGTCAAAGTAACTAGTCCCACAGGAACAATCAGAGTGGCAAATATATACATAGGAGGCGAAAATCTTACCACCAGCTACGAACCGTCACAAAGTGAGACCGGACGTACAATTTTGTGGGTTGGCACTATTCAATCCCTCCTCTTCAGAGTGAAGAGGCGGCACATCTGGCTGGTCGTTCGAAGAAAACACCTTATTGCTGTTATATCTCTATTGGCTAGCAATATGGCTTGATCCTCAGACCCCTAACATAGTGTAAGCAACTTATACTATGATGGCAACTGCTTTCAGTCTAATCGCTATGCAACCAACCTTTCTGGCATGGTAGAACCTGCAGGAAAATTCACACCAACCAGTAAAGCTTTTCAAGTCATTGCGATTTGCACCCCCGACTACTGCATCAAGGTAGCGGCTATAGGTCGAGAATCTATTGCTGAACAGAGGATCATATAAATGCAGTTTGTTCTGTTGCCCAAATGCTGTTTTTGTTTATTACTAAAGGAAATTTGTGTGACTGAAAGTCGGGACCATAAAATCTCCAAGTACACAAGAAATATAATGTGAATTACTTGTCTCACCTGTTTGATAACTTTTGCTGGCGTTTTTAACTTTGCATGCCTTTTTAAAGATGATATAACTCACTCTGAAACATTATTGTATCAATATGTACTGATATATTAATTATATAATTTAAATTATACGTGTACACACCTGTTACTTGTAATAAATATAACAGCAGCATAACATTCAGCAAGGCGTTCTGGTAAAAGGAAACAATTCTTTATATTATCAATTAGTCGACCAGGTAAGTCTTCAGTCCGACGAGCAACACAAGACAAATTATCAAATTGTCTTTTACAACTTCTCAATTGCAGTTCACATTTTTCAGCAATATCAGCTATTTCACGTCGAGATTTATTTGACAACCGTCGACCAACAAGCTCACGTAGAAAACTTTCATCAAGAGAATAATACCTAGAAGACATAATATTCATGTAAGCAAATAAGAGTAGAATGATAATATTATTCTATAGAGAAGCAACTTCTATCACTTGGTGATAAACATTTAAAAGGCATCCTCATCATCCATAGGACAAACGAATATCATTTTAACTCCGAAGGAATGTTTTTTAGCAAAATAACTTGCAAACCTATTAAATAACATTTACTTTCTCCATTAATCTCCTTCTGAAGTTGTGCCTTGTTGACTTAAACACTCAACTTATAACCAGACAGTTGAGGATTAAACAGTATCAGTATAATGGATTTAATTTTATGAATTTATCCGAAGTTTTATCATCTGAATTGATTTGACTTTTTGAATGCCACTTTAGAAAAGCACTGGGGCTATATACAGAGTTATACATAAACTAATCAAACTGCTGAAGAATATTGTTTGATGTCTGTGAAATATGCCGCATACAATTGATGGTCTGATTTCGGAATTTGTGGAAATATTACCGGAACCATTTGAGAACATAGCATGTAACTAATCCAAATGATAATACTGTATTTAATGTCATGCCTTATAAAACGGGATAATCTGACAAATTCTATCCATCTACGTTTGCTCATTTTCTCACAATGCGATAGCTTTATCCTTTTGGTTTAAAGTCTCCAACAAAGGGTTGTACTAGTTGGTCAATAACATCAACTCAAGCACATTTGAAAGCTTTCCTACCACGATATAAAATTACAACACCATAAGAAAGTTAGCGAGTTAGGATTTAATGAATTAGTTGTTAAATTCGTACTCCTTCGCTTTTAACACACTTTATTGAGGCACCGAAATCTCATACACGTTATCATGCCTTTTTGTTTGTATTGTGACGCGAAACCACGTATTTCTGTACTTGCATCAACATATACCTCTAAGTAAGTGGAGTTCTACTGACGCTTCTGAATGCTGACTCACTGAATTTTGTTGCTCGTTCTAATGAAGTTTTAGTAGAAATGGTCCTACGGATTTATATTACCAGGGTAAGGAAATAACAATTGTGATTTAACTAGTCTCCACGCTACACAAGAGCATGAAGCTATCTAAATTAATATACCATTCGACCTTTACCAATCCTGCAAATATTAATAAATGAAGTGTGAACAGAAAGTATTACTGAGAATTTAAAAGGCTTCTAAAATAATATAAAATATTACTTCAGTGTAGCTACAAGTGTGAACCTGATAACTGTCACACGTTATCATAAGTTACGGATACAAGTGACAATCGACTTTTTATATCTAAGCGTTTATCAAGAGTGTACTGACAAAATTAACTTTATTTTTACAGATAATTTATCAACTGTATTAAAACCCTTTCCTAATATACTATTCAGGAAAATAAAATAAAGAACTTATAACATACATATGAATCAGCTGTTTGCGAGTCTCTGGTGTAAGTTGATGGTATGCGCAGTCTTGCATAAAAGAATCTGGATGCCGCAAGCCCATTTCTAACAGTGTGAACTGTGCAAAGTGATCTCTGACATGTGCAGCCAACATATCATTTGTCATACGAAACTCTTCTACTGAAGGTGACTGTGCCAAGATCGAACAGGCCTGTGAAACTAAGGAGTTGATAGAATGATAAATAAGGTTACATATAATCTTTATTAGTTTAAAAATTAAGCAACAACAAATATTTAATGGTAAATACAAAGATGGTCTTATAGTAACTGATTAACCAGTGATTTTTGTTCTGACTTCTCAGTAACTGTCTATTATTACATACGGAATGTATAGTTATAACATTAAAAAAGAGATATCCTTATGTAAATGAACATTGGATTTTTGTTAAGAAATATTTAATGAAAGAAATTCGCAAGAATCAAATACAGTAATTAATTTAGTAAAGTACTTCTGTTATACCTACTTTTGGTACTTCCACAGACGAAATCCAACAGGAAAGAGGTGAAGAGGTAAAACAGGAAGACTCTAAACATACTATGAAGAATGAACGTTATTTCCTCTAAATTGTCTAAATATATTTTCAGAACTACTTTGTGTTAAAAGGAGTAAGAGAAAATAAAACGGAAAACTCATATAGTTTTATGATGATATATTGTTTTGGAAAACTCAAATAAGCGTAACAGAAACAGTCGTAAAGTACTACAAATATTGTTATAAGGTTTGCATTTGTTAACTGAATTCTTCACTTTAGGTGTGGGGTCATTTCAATAGTAAAAGCAAGTTCGTGCACAATTACATCAGTTTAGGGTGCTTAGGTTTGAAACATCAAGCACAATAGAACAGAATTAAAAATGATACTACACTGGGCAAAAGTGATTGACAGAAGAGGCAATAACTAAATGATGCTTTGCAAAAATGTTTGGAGCCGCTAAATGTAGACTGATGTAAATGACGGAGTCATGTCTAGCTTGTCTGTTGAACACTTTATTAAGTTCCACACTTTCTTATGCTGTTCAGACAAGTACACAGATACTTGGGTGAGACAAGAACAAGTTGAGCCGGTGGTTGGTTCTTACCAACTGTATACAGACAGCAACAATCCTGAGATTTCTTCAGCGGTCAGTCCAATCAGAGTAATGCGAATTAACGAATAACCTAAGTGAACAAAGCACTCAACAGCCTTACTCCTATGCTTACACTAGGATTTAGTGTAGACTAGTCATGTTGCATATTACTACATACACCAGTGGGAAGCGCATGCCAGATATACTCACACTTTTCACGCGGCTTGTTGAGTATGTATAAAAGGACTACATCATGCGCCTACTCTAAATCAACTATTTACTTTGTATAAGGCCACTTCCCAGGATGTCCAAACAAAATATTCATCTCGATCTGGAAATTCATAACGAGACAATAAAAACGACGACATAGTTTCCAGACGAACATTACAAGTTATCGCCTTTTCAGAAGATAAGTATTCGTCAGGTAAATACAGATTTGTGACTTTATGTAGTGCCTGGACCTGTATGGCATATTTCATCACTTTCTTTGTAGTGTCAAAACACCTCCCATTCTATAGAACCGAGTACAGATCTAAGGTTAGGGAAAACAGGGCGTACCAGACACAGTTACAAACACCCGTGTTCCAGAAGAATCTGTAGTAGATGTTTGATCACTGTGCCCTGATTCGAACTTATCCCTCAGTTTAGATAGAGATATCAAATTCATTGACTTACTAACCATTGGCAAAAACCACAGGAGGATGAGCGAGTACCATAAACTGTTGTTACGTTATAAAACAGCATAGATCACTTTCCCCTGACGTTGTTGCATATTAATATTTCTGATCTACCCCAACAACTGTGTGAGAAGTAGTTATATGAACTATCAATACACATATCTAATTTCGCATGTCATAGAGACTATATAAGGAAAAAAGAATGGCCACTTTTCCAGCTTGCATGACCGTCTCAAAAGTATAACAAACATTTGTGATTCCATGTGCTAGTTTTTAGCTAGTGGTACAAGTTTTGCTGCTTGGTATATATATATATATATATATATCTCGAATAATTATTTACAAGTCGCCTCCTATATTCCTTTTTGATAATCCACGTGGTCTTCATTGTTGTTTTGTTTATTAGTGCTTGCAAACTGAGGTGAATGAGTACGGTGGAAACTACTACTTTTTTTGGTCTGGTGAACAGAAGTCAAACTCCAGAAAATACATGCAGCTTCAAACCACTCACGAATAACAGATAATAGGCCAACAGAACTGACTTGTAAGCATGTTGCTCACTGGTGCACGTTGGAAATGCATCTTAAGTGAATAATAATGTTGAAGCAAATATAATGGCAAACAAAATGATTTGAAGAGAGAGTTGAGTAAACTACGTGGAATATACAAGATATACCAAAAGACAAGAAAAGCGCGGAGTGGAATAGAGCCAAGAGTTCAAAAAAGCGGAGAGGAGAAAGAAAAGTTTGCAAATCAGAAAAAAAGGAGATAAAGACACCCGTATAAATGTATAACACGTTATCCTAGTCAGACAAAAATGGGCGAAGAATGGTTAAATAATGGTTGATATGGACACGATTTCGAGCAATTAGATAGACTTATTAGTCAAATGGAATGACATGTGAATAATGGTTAAAATGAGGAATTATTGACTGAATAATGGTTAAAATGAAAAGCAGTGGCTAAATAATAGGAAAACATTGGTCAAGTTATGAAAAAATATTGGTCCAAAAGCGGTAAAACATAAGTCAAATTTGAGTCGAATGATGCTTAGAAGGAGGAGAATTAGGTCGTGTAAAAGAAATTTGTCTGCTTTCTCCTTACTATTAACCGTGCCTACCATTCGCCACATTTGAGGATTTATGTCCGATTGGGACAAGGATAATTTTCTCGAGGAAAAATGAATGCACAGGTAGTACGCGTTAGAACTTACGAAAAAACTGAAATTGTTGATCAAGCTGCACTTGGTCGTGCTATCCTGACCCTCGTTATCATGAAAATTATTATTTTATTTAACTATGTTATTGTTGTATAAATTCCCTACTGCCTAAACACACTGAAAGTACGATGGCTGAGTAACTTACCAGTCTTCCCGTGTACCCAGAAATCGAACATCTGGATGTCGACAAAACTAGGACTCGTAATCGTAACATCTGCTAAACAACAAAATTGCATCGACCTTGAAGTTTAACCAGTGCGCTACTTTTTTCTGTGAATCCAATATCAATAGAAAGGGAGTAATGCGGCAGAAATTAAACATCACGTACAAGGTCATTGATGAAGTTGGACACTCAAAGGTCATTTTCGTCCATGTTAGTCGGCCATGTTGGATTGCAAATCAAATGAACCGATTAAGTAATGCTGGATTGTAAGGGAAGTAAATAAAATGTGTTTAAATGAAGATGTGATAAGATTAAGGGACTATAAAAGATAAGTTGAAAATATAAGTTAGGGGTGGTGAAGTTACCAGTCGGTAATGTTATAATAGGCCAAGGGAGGGATGATGGGTGTACGAACGTCTTTTTAATGCATAGTTTAGGTTTCATAGTCCGAATGCTTACTGCCTCAGCTTTGTGCAGTAGACGAACACGAAGTCTATTGCAAATATTTAGTAGGGTGCGATGAATTACGTTGAAAGATTCCGTTTTCTCCACTACGTAACCACTATCTACTAAATGTGACGAAACTGAGCTGCGGGTCGTTTTTTTCTGTCCTTTTTCAAACCACGATGAGAAACGTTCATTAACGCGTTGGCTAAGCTGTCTAGTAGTACGCTTAACATAACTGTCACCGCAGGTTCACATCGATGAGGCAAAACTATCTATCTTTCGTTTGCGTCCTAATCATTCGTCAGCTAGAGAATGACGAACATAGGTATGCTGCGTAAAACGTTCATCGTATACTCCTAGAAAGTCTCTGGAACAAAATCTCACTTGGCAAGCAACTATTAAATTGTAACTTAATAAATGGAGATTTATGTGCAGTCATCGTCTCAGGTCTCTCCAATGTTTTCACATGTTTCTTAATGAAAGTCCATCTCCGTCAAGAAATCATGAATGTGTTCGAATTCCTTTTGTAATTGATGATCCCTACATATCTTTTTTCCCTCATATTTAATGGGCACGTAACTAAGGAAGTGTGTATTGCCCTGCGAATATGCCCTATCTATATGTGCTTCTCCCAAGTGCCCCATCTTCTCGCCTACTTTGCAAGGTATCCAGAAAATGTAAATTACTATCCTGCCCCCTTTCACAAGCAAAAGTAGGCGAAGGGTGGATATTATGTGAATTTCATCTACAATTCGTCTATATGTGTATTCCCATCAACTAAGATAAATGTATAATCGACATAACGGTAATACATCTTAAACTTCTTGATTATGCCTTTCAACCTCTATTTTCAAGTTTTGCAGGAAAGAAGTTAGCTGATATTAGGCCTAGTTGTGAATCCACGGCTATTATATTATTCCCTCTGCTTGTAGGTAATATAAATTATTGAAGACAAAGGGCACATTCATTGTGCATTTAAGGAACAATTCATGGAGGCTACGCAAAGAAATTCCCAAGTCCAATTGCTTTTCGGTGATTTCTTGGCAAATGTAGCCTATCGTTTCCATACGTGGTACATTCGTGAACAGTGATGATACATCTATGGATAACATACGTTTATACCACGTATTAGTCTTGGATATTTTAGAAATGAAGTCGAAGACATCACTGACTCTGTACCGCACAATTTCTTTGTGCTAGAGTCCTAGAATCTTCACCACCTACTTTGCTGTTCCGTGAAATGGAAAGTTAGACATATCTAAAACAGAACGAAGAGTAAGATAAAGTTTGTGTGCTTTAGGTAGACCATAAGGACGTGGAGTGTTGGTGGCCATAGAATCATATGTGGCTGATGAAATATTCCTTTTTGGTTGTTTTTTAAAGTAGTCGGTCATTAGTTTCCACGATTTTACGCAGGGGTTTTTGGAAGCCCCAAGAGATAGGAATCTAGTTTGATCATTCGAAATGACTTCCATTTTCTCCACGTGATCGCTTTTATCCAGTAAACCTACACCGTCACCTTTATCTGGGTTGCTAATAATTAAGCTTTTATTACTTCTGAGTTCTCCTTGAGCTTCTCTGTGTTGCTTAGATAACACACTACTTACTGAATATCTATTATTTTTGTATTGTTGGCAGCTGTCAGATAGCATTGTTTTGAACCTAGTTAGCTCATCGTCCAACGAAGGAATAATGTCAGGCGTTCGAGAATACAAATTTTCAAATTGTTTCCCTTTAGGATCATAGTCAATGAATTTGGGACATAGGGATAACACCTCCAGTTGAAAACTACTAAGTACGACACTGAAAAAAATTAACTTACCGGCCTGGAAATGACGGAAATTTCCTTTCAGGCTTTAGGCTTTCAAGAAACCTGACGAGACTTATCTTTTTATTATTCCTTCTGTTTATTGTTACGTTATTAACATATTCCAAGAACATCTATTTTAATTCTCGAGGTAAATCATCAACTGAAAAGTGTCTTTGCTATACGTTCTTTTAGAGATTATTTAGAAGACTTTTAACAGAACCAGTCTTATTGAGGGCATGTCTTTTTAAACTTTTAGAATTAGAATGAATTCGCATTCATCCTAACGACCTGCAATATAGTTTAGGATAACGTTCGGTTGCTGCACATTCTTTTATATATTTCTACGATGTTTTCGCTTCAGTGAGCCTTGCCCCAAAATTCAGGAAGTCACTGAGTGTATTGAATGCAATAGGAACCCCACGGGATTTCAAAATATTAAAAATTCACGCAGTGGCACAGTGGTTAGGACTCTCGCCGATCATGCACATGGTTCGGGGTTCGATCTCCTGCCGACGCACACCTGAAATCTATGGTTGGCCTGCAAAATTTGGGCAACCAATATCCATGCTGAAAATTCCATACTTGTACTGAAAATACGGTGTGGCGTCAAGCTGTAATCAAAAAAATTAAGCAAATAATATTGCTTTCATTTAGATGTCATCAAGCATAATCTTAATAAACATAACTTTACAAGTAAAAATTCAATTTATAAAACCCTACAGTTTTTTTAACTCTTTGATTCTAATCTACATGCTATTGTCGATTTCAGCATCTGTGGTCTTTCGGTAATTCACTGTTTTTTAATAATTCGCGAATTTTTTCAATGAAATATGTGTTCGACTGTTTGCACTACATCACTTGGTACTGTTGCAAATTGACCACACGTTATGTGACAGTAATTAGGTACTGTTTCATTTTACCTTCGGTGGGAGATTTCGGGATCTTTCAACTATGTTACTGTCCTCAGAGGTGTCAGTATAGTGTTTCTTTGACTGGTGGATAATCTTCAGAATTGAAATTATGCAAATTATTATCTTTCAAGATTTAATCAGATTCGTTATTCAGATTTATTGATTCAGGATAGAAGGCCTGAGCTCTACATGAACTCCCTTCTAATAAGTTTCTTTGCTTTCGAAGCGATTCAGACGAGGACACTGAAACCGCTTCTTCTAGGATTCGGTTATGAGAGTTTACGACTAAATGGGGAACCACTACTCCAGATCGATCCATTTAATCTTTGGTTTTTGAAATCTCCTATCTCCTTCAAGACAATCCAAACTGACAGGAAGCGTGAAAGAGGATAGATCATGCACATTGTCATATCTTTTAGGTACTGTTGAGATCTCTCTGCCTACGGTACAACAAGAAGATATTCAGACTGTCATATCTTTCCTAGCATGATAAATCGGCCATACACAGAATCATGCCAGATATCGTCCTATGAATCCTTTATGGAAAGTGTGATTCCCCCTTCAGACGAGGAATGGTTTTATGTATGCAATCTTCCAGTTTTTACACACCGAGATATGTATAAGGAAGTGAGCATATCACTGGTGATTCTAGGGAACGTTTTACCTATGATCTAAAGCTTCGAGCTACCACTATGCGATGGTGCGCCGTAGTTTCGAGTTTGTGGATAATCATGTCACCAAGATCTAAGTGGATGTGAACTGATGTTATTCAGTCCAGTTCGCATGACGTGAGGCATGCGTATCTTATGTACAGTAGTTACCCTCTAGCTAGGAACAGGATTGTTCACCAAGGCCGGCGCTTTAACACCATCTTAGATAACCTATGCGAATTCTTGCTCTGGCATTCTTGGCTGGTACTCGATTCTAAAATTTGTTTCAGGTGGTCACTATGACCTTAGTAATCCAAGAGTTCATCGTGGACTTTTCAGTGTCCTATTCTCTGTAAAAAAACTTTTAAATAAGTTTATTTGATACAGTTTTTTTCCTTCACGTTCCCCAGTGGAACATAGGGCTTCAAGCTAGAGGCTTGAAGTTTCTGTAGCAGTGGTGTTTATTTTTACAGGATGGGGTTGCTAGCCTCATGCCCAACCTTTCCTCTTTACCAGAATCATTTCTGGCTCGGCGAGGTAAAGGAGTGCGTTGGCCGGGGATCGAACCCCGGACCATGTGCACGGTCGGCGAGCGTCCTAACCGCTATGCCACCGACGCACTATTTGATACAGTAAAGAGTTATAAAGTGTTAATATCTGGATGGCGTTACGATTACAGTTTGTTGCTGATAATTATATCATTATGGCATACACATGATTCCTTGAAGTGCTTTGTCTGGTTTTCCCCCTTTTCTCTTTTTAATGATTCTGCATGTATCCGCGACAGGTGTTGCATCATTTGGATCCCATGTGTTTAGTGTTCATTCGGTTATACTAACTCCACTCTCCAGCAAATTATGTTAATTTCTAATATTTTTGCCTTATTGTATAATTATGTGCAAGTGAATGCATTCCAATGGCTAAAAACACTGGGGAGCTTAAGATATCCAGAGAATCAACAGCGACAATCCTAAATACTGATGGCTTGAAAATAACAGCTTGTAACACCCAATATAGTGAGATTATTTGGCGGTAGTTTATCGTTCATCAAGCCTAGATTCCTTGCTGAATAGGTATGGACATATATCACATGTGGTATCACATGAAAATGTGATGGCATCTGTCGACGTTCAAGGTGAATGCTGTCTAGCACTTAATCGCTCACTGCCTTGAATAGGTTTCAGGAGGTGATTAGTCGCATTTGAAGTTCATAAATTAGCCAAAGCAGTTCTGCGTTGTAAAGGAGTTAAGGCAAAAATATGATGAATAATACTGGCTTTTAACGAATATATTAAATGATATTTCCGAGAGAAAAGGAATCATTATCAAGTTGCGATATAAAAGTCTGCGAATAAAGGAAAGTTTGAATGCATGTGTAGTAATATACTGCAGTTGCAATTTTAATTGGAATGTAACGGCGCACCCTTCGAAAATGTCCGGGACATGAGGTATTCTCAAGGTCTTTGGTTTTGATTCTTTTGTTTTTGTCAAGTTATGCTTTTAATATTAAATATCTTTTGTTCAAATAGTATCATTTAATTTGCGTTAGCCCTTCATACCAGTAGTCTGGACTTATGGCAGATTTATGCTGTTTTTCGTGAATTATTTCGACAAACTTCTTGTAGAAATAACGTATAATTCGCTTATGAGTGTTTCGTTAGTGGCTAGAAACGAAACTAATTTTAATCTCTTTTTAGTTCGTTGTAATTTGTGAACCTACCTGCTTGTAGTTTTCAATTGACAGCAGACGGTTGGACAAATGCAGGTACGTAACTGGAATCTCTCTCATTGACGTTCAGTACCAGTTAAAGAATAAATTAAATAATTTACTGTTAAAGTAAATATGTCATCCATAAGTTGTCCCTGGTCTGCATTCGGATTTGTAAAAAACCAGGAGTTCAACGAAGATATCTTTTTGGCAATGTCATTCTCAACAGTTTTGCAGTCACAGATCATAGTGAAAAAAGTGTGGTTGGTTTTCTCTCTAATATCCTGACAGTCAAAAATGAACCCAACTAACTGTGGTATATGACATTCATCTGGAAACATTATTTATGTAGAGGATTGACTAATAAATGTGCCTTTTGCTTGCTTATTTTGTTATATTTGAAGCGGAAATACCTTCAGTATAAATTTGGTTAGTGACAAGTATTAGCACAAGTGACGATTAGTATATAGATGCTTTATTTCACGTGAATGTTAATGAGCTACAGTAACCCACAGGTATCTCCCAAGGAAATATTCCCGGAAGTTATCTGTATATATGTTATCAATAGCAGCATGTATGAAGTATTTTGTGGCGACTGATAAGTACATAGTACCATCTAACTTACAAGATAATTCGTATTTGGCACCAACCTTTTTTGTGGTTGAGTTTCATTTTGCGTTGACCGTCTGTTTATTTGTCCTGTCCTTTTGTGTTTTGGGGTGGTATATTGTAGATCAAGTAGAATCGCAAATAAATTGTTCTACTAGAAATTTATTGCTAGCTATCCTACTCTAGCCGATGTTGTGGGAATTGTTATTTTTTGCCTATTTTCTACACTACATTGTATTTGTGTAGATACTCCACCTTCATCTGCTATATCAATAAGGGAGAACATTATAGTCATCGGTAGTTTTTACACAGTAAGCCAGAACAGAAGTAATACTTGGTTAATGCATGTGAGTGTTTCGAAAGCATATAGGGGTTCATGGAATACACCTTAATTTCCTAATGCTTTGATTGTAAATAGTATTAGTTGATTAAAGATCTATATGTAACTTCTCCGCCGAAGTTAAATGCCAACGTATAGTGGTCAACTAGTGTATTAAATTCATATTTATGCTCTCAGTGTACCTCCTGCTTCTTTGATTACATTTTTTCCCGTCATTGTGGACTTGAGTGATATTTTTCTGGAAAGAGTTGAATAAGTACAAAGACACCAGATTTGTTGATGCCTTGCACTTTCACCGAATTTGAAATCCCGATTCCGATCAACAGATTAAAGCATTTGTAGTCACTAATATCTCTCCAGTTATATCTCTGTGAGTAACACTGAGTATGGTGATGTAGAGATTATTTCAACTAAATGTTCATATTACTCTACACTGATATCGCAAACCAGAATTCTATTTATTTTACCTATGATACCTATTTGATGATTTAACAGAGTCAATTCTAAAGAACTAGGATGTGTGTCCACCAGCTGGAATTCATCATATGAAGGAATTCTCTATTGGAAGCAAAAAGTAGATTCGCGATTGAAGCGTGGCTGTGGTTTGGTTTAATTGTCAATAAGTCACTTTTTTAGTTTTCTCTGAGCATTGGTGTCGACTGAAAGGCAATATTTTGATTCTTTGCCGTTCTCCAGACAGGACCAGCAGTGAAATTGCCGGTGTAATACTTCTAGAAAGTTTCACTGTGTCCTATACTAAAGACGAAGAAATACCGTACTCTTTTCGTCTAGGTGAGTCTTCATTTAAAGTCAGAATTAATTGTATAGATTTTGATTCCGGTGACAAGTCTTTTGTGTTCATTGCTCGTTCAAAAGATGAAGCGGAAAAGTGGTTTCAACACTTAAGTAAAGCACAACTAGCACCCAAGTTACGTCGCTTCACTTTACTTCGTGATGAGATAAGGAAAATCACTGGATCTGATCCATTAGAGTCAGGATTTTCCAGTAGTTCATTTGCTCAGCCATCTGTCGAAGGTAGGTTTGGATAAAATAGATTAATAATCGTAACGTATGTATGTAAACACGTACTAAGGTATATTTTCACTATCGTTTCAGGTTCTTTAGAGGATCAGGGACTTGAAATAATATTGAGTAAGTTCACTGAATTTTGTAATCACTATTTGTTACTGTCGTGTAAGAGCTTATGGAGAATTATCATCTTAAGTAATGATAACCAGATGTTATCCTAATCGACTTAGGGACTTGGAGGTTGACATGTTACTAGGGAACAGTCTCGTTGATGTATAGTATACAGACGATATTTTCTTCCTTAGTGAAGACACTGACAAGATGCAGAGTCTTCTAAACACCGTGAGCAGAAATCTTGATTGTTTTGGCATGCAGTCCGCCCTTATGAAATGTAAGATAATGTTGTAGTAGGATTGGTCTGCATCTACTCTTAGTTCAAAGATAAGGAATGAAGTGTTAGAATGTGTTGACGATTTCACTTATTTGGAAAGTTGCATCAGTCGTAATGGACTGATTGCTGATGTAATCCCATTACAGAACGCTTGTATGAGATTCTCGCCAACTTACGTCGTCTCCGACGTAGGCGTGATATCCGGCTATCAATGAAAGGAAGTACGTACTCCGCAGCAGTTCGCTTAGTTTTTTTATGGCTATGAGACATGACCGTTGAAAGTGGAATATATGGAAATGCTAGTTTTCTTTAACCACACGTGTTCGCGTTCTGCCTTCCATGTTGACTGGTATAATATGATGAGTATTATTGTGATTAGGCGTATAGTATCAGGTAAGAAGGGAAAACTAATCGATGAGGTTATAGAGCGGCTTCTATTGAGATGGCTTTGGTGCTTGTTATGCATTCCAAGATATCGTCTGACATAACGTTAGGTTGGGAAAGGATTGGGGGTGATGAAACCTGAACTTTTGACAGTTACTTTAAGCCACACAGGGAGGTATGGACGGTCTGCTTGGGGTCCTCGGGATGCTTAGAACCAAAAGCTTGAGATTGTTGGTAACATGGCTCTGAATCGTTCTCAGTGGTGTGGATTCATTTATTCTCTTAATTCTTTCACATTCACTAAATCCTCATTATTCTCTTGTATGCTTCCATTCATTGCGAGTTCCTTTGAATTTTCATGGTCTCCTAACTTTGCGTGCTATATGGAGTGTGGCAACTTGAACTGTTGCATTTCTGTGCAAAGTTGTACGTTGAAAACCATGTATTTGTTATCCTAATTATCGGTCATCCTTTAAATTAACGAGATCCTATAAGTTTTTTGGCATGATTTCCTATGTTGACATGTGATGGTAATTGTTACAACTGACGACTAAGATTTCGCTATTTTACGTCCTCTCGTTTCTAATCGCTTTTACTTCAGGATCAGTATCCTGTTATTGGATATTGTTATCTTGAGTGTTTTTCATAAAGTAACTATGTTGTGGTGAACGTTTTTAGTGAGCGGCAACATTTGTGTAATGCTAAGTTGACTTTTGGAGTATAATATTATCGCTTGATTTAAGTTGTTCATAGGGCCATCGTTTAATTGTTATTTTTGAAAATCTCAGTGAACTGCTCACTAGCCATTTTATATCACATTATTTTTGTCATTTTTCCTAATATTAGAATGTCAGAATGTTGGCGACATTACTCAACCTAATGAGCTTCCTAACACTTGTATGCTTGTCTCGGTATCGAATTCGCGAAAGAACAGTTGGACCACAGTTGGTGCTACAGAAGTAATTGAAGTAAGTTTTCGTAATGAATATATCCAAGTTTAGGTGGTGCGTTTTCGCATGTACTAGGCGATGGATTACATTTTATCTGTAAGGATTAATAAGCCTTTCAGGCTGTCCAGACCGATGTAGGTGGAACGTGGTTTAAACCTGGTATCATCTAGCTAAACGTTAGGTACTGAGGCTAGTGAGCAATACCTCCACTTCAGTAATACTTCTCATAGTGTACTTTTTCAATTTTTCCGAATAATCAAAGCAAATAACAGGAATTTGAAAGGCCATTAGAACTACATGCAATGAAAGTTCACAACTTTTTTGACTCACCTGTCTTAATTAAGATGTATAACCTTTACGTCCCTTGTGTGGTGGTCCTGTGTTTACACAAGTAACTACAGGGACGATTGTAAAGTGCTTTAAGATTTCTCAGATCCCCTGTGTTTAATTGCTAAATCACACGGTATTCGGCGCACTTCACTTCCTGGATTGCAAAAAGTAATCACGACTAATCAATTAACATGAAGTGACCGGGTGATAGCTGCTTTCAGAGTCGGAATTAGAACCGGTCTTCATTCAGGATGTAATATCGTGAGTTATTATATCGTCTGCTCAAGGTGTATTAGTTGAAGCTATAGATAATTACTTAAAAGTGTATTGATCCGTTCGACTCAGATATTTCGGTATTGGTTTTCGGTGTGCATTCAATAATTAAGTCCAACAGTTTTCGAGGCTTAAATATTTTTCTGAGCTTTCGCTTTGTTTTATTTTTGGGGCTAACATGTATTGGACATTAGTGTTTATGTTAGTTCAGTCTAGCTGCTGTTATCTAGTAATTCGTGTTGATAAATGCTTGCTATCCTACTCAGGTTGTATAATTTACTTTTTATTATTTTATAATAAGTGATTGTTATTCAAGGTAGAATTCTTCACCTTGTTTATTATTATTTTGTTTTATTCACCTGTACCACTGAACAGCATTCTCGGAATCCGGTTTTTTCGAAGACAATTTTCCTATCCAGTGATTTAATCGATGAGAACAATCAAATTCGATTTAGTCTGTTTGATATTAAAGATGTGAAATCTAATGTTGTAAGTGTGATTTGACGTTTTGTTTTCTAAAAATAATAATTAGGATTCTTTTTTCGTTGTAAAGTTATTATAAAGCCCTTTAAAATTGTTGTCTTTAGGCTAAATACATAGGTATCAAACGTCGGTGTATGCGTGTGTGTGTGCATTTGTGACTTATCCTAACTGTTTTGATCATTTCAATTGTCAGATGTCGTCTTCGTTATGTTTGGATGATCATTTGAAAGATCGCTCTTTTTTAAGCTGTTCTAAGAGCCCTTGAAATCAAATTAGCCGCTTGCATTTAGACAACTTTTACGCATTGCATTCTATGTTTGGCATTCAGCGTTGTTATATAAAGGCACATGTGATCAATTGTCTAGTTTTATGCGTGTAACGCTTTCATGGTCTTTATTTCTCTAACAGAACAATGAACCAGATTGGGTAATTGGATTACAGAGATTTAGATAGGAATATATTTTTTTAAAACTTTTTATTTCAGCTTGATTCCACACCGTATTTTTGGTACAGGTATGGAATTTTCAGCATGTGATATCGGTAGCCCAAATTTTGCAGGCCGAATATGGATATCAGGTGTGCGTCGGCAGGGGATCGAACCCCGGACCATGTGCATGGTCAGCGAGAGTCCTAACCACTGTGCCACCGACGCACTATGACATCAGCAGTTTACGTGAATCAAGGGTATATTTGGAAAAATGAGTGTTTTTTAATCTCTTCATATGTTGCAGCGTTTTAGAAATTGTTTGTCACTATCGGTGAATGCTAGCACCCCTATACAAAGAATATATTAGTGAAATATAGTTCGAAAGATTTTCTCGAAATTAACGGCAAATGATAATCTCAATGATGATATGCATATGTTTCTTCACCTTCTTGTATCAATTCCGGTATGAGATGAAACATCAAGTTATTGAGTGAAATTAAACTTCTTAACCTCGGTATTACTGCTGAGAAATCTTGCATACTATCATTTTTGTCTACATAAGTCTCCAGCATATGTTTTGTCACTAAACAGGTTTAACTTGTTTGTTAGCCACTTTATTTTTCTATTTTCCGAGTTCAACTTATCAGAATTTGCATAAATCAGTTAAAGGATTGAATCAGCCTAGCCTAGTTCACGACTAAAATAAATGTTTACTTTGATTTTTGAGTGGAAAAGTTGCCAGAACGATTCGATTTACTTTGTTTGTTAATAAGCATAATTCTATTTTTAAAATATGGGTTTGATCAAATATTAATTTCAGGATTGGTCATGAACTGACTCCAGTTAAAGAACCATTGAAAAATTGGGAGTGCTAGACAGCTGTTTCACCCTAGTTTAGGACTCTTTTGCATTACACACCCATGACATTACTAGGAATTAATGTAATGCTCACTAGTGACTAACTACAGGATGAAGTTCTGGCGAGAACTCGTGGTCAGCGGGATCTACCAAGTTAAGTATGAAAACAAATACTATCCGATGACATTGGCTTTGTGTTCTGGCTCGGATTCCTGATGAGGTCATGTGTGCGTACTGCTGAAGAGTCGCAAACTAGAACGGAACAGTTGCCCACTGCCCCCTGATTTTCAGTGGTTTCCTAATTAAAGCCAATTCGTGATCAGTACTGGCATCACTGGCAACTCTATTGATTCTCTTCACTCATCTTCTCGTCTACCTTTGTGTGCTATTTTGGAACGTGGTAACTCGAACTGCTGCACTTCGGTGCCAAATTCTATGTTGAATCCAGACAGACAAACCCAACACTTGAAGATCAAATAGTAATTCTCATGTAACTTACTATTTCATAGTCAAGCGTATACGTAATTGGTTATTTTCCGTGTTATATGATTTACATGCGGTGAGATTTGTTATTGAAATAAGTAGAAAAGGAATATTATTTACTACATTATGTTTCGTGATAAAGTTTTGGAGCTCCCCAAGAATCGAACATTGCGCTATGATCAAGTTGTTAAGAAGTATGGATTAACTTGTATGATGAAATAATACGGTGGATAGTGTCCAGCAGTGGAATCTAGGACGCGCATTTAGAGACCAGTTTCGGAGTCATCAGATGGATGTGCCTGTATTCCCATTGAGTGGCAATGTACCCACTGATTGCTTCAAAGTTATTCCTCGGACGTCATTGAAACTTCCGTACTTGGAGCTGACACGTCGACGTCGGCCGAACATTTCAGTTTAATAAATCAATAGGAAAATCAAAATTGTATTGGAAACAAATCATAACTGACGCCCATTGCACAAGACTTGGCTTTTATTGCCCAAGTGGTCAAGTGGATAATGCTTTGGCGTTTGAAATGAATGATACTGGACATAGGCTTTTTGGTATATGCTCAGAAAATCGTAGGTATTCTACAAGAAAAAGGATAAAAAGACGAAGCAGTTGGAAAGTTCTGATAATATTAATAGGATAATGATAAAGCGTATATGCATTTGCACTACCCTCATTTCACTTGATATCTCCGGCGAAAAGTTTTAATTTTGTCACAAGAAGTCATATCAGGCAGTGTAGGTATTTACAGGCTTCTAGACAGCGCTGTTTATCTCTTTTTCCTTTAATTTCTATACTGACAAATTTGCCCCTTTTCATTGTCCTAATTTGTGTCATTAACTTTAACTCAAACACTGACAACTGATCATTATATATGTATGTATGTATTTTGTTTCATTGGTCAGAGTGCTTTAATCGGTGTAACAACTATATCAATGAAGGAATTTTTAAATAATTCATCTCTACTATTACCAATTCACAATGAATGTTCTAGCCCACGTAGTAATAACAAGTTAACAAATTTAGAATCTGTTCCATCCGTTTATATACAGTCAAGAAAACAAAAACCTTTGGATTCTACAATTGCTAGGGTAAGTTGTTTACTTATAAAAGTGAAAAAAGAGTAAGAAATCTTTTTTGGTGATATTGTAGTGATGATTTGTTGTTGTTGTTTTCTTCTCTTTATCACCTTTTGTTTGTTTTTTTGTTATTTGACTGTCACCTTGACCTGAAAAAGAAATAGGTTTGAACTTAAGTGCATTGTCTTTCTTCTTGCACAGTATTAATTTCTTTTCTTTTGAAAATATACCTTCACTAATAAAAGTAAATGTTTTTTTTAAAGTTGTGTTAATCATTTTGTTTAGAAAGATTTTATCACCCTTATTGGTTGATAGGTTGATCAAAAAAGACAAGCGAGCAAGCAAACGAGAATGTTGATAATTTCGTTTTTTTTTCTCTCTCTCTCCTTTGAATGAGTTTTACTCTATGCATTTTTTTTCCTTCACGTTCCCCAGTGGAACATAGGGCTTCAAGCTTGTGGCTTGAAGTTTCTGTAGCAGTGCTTATTTTTACAGGATGGGGTTGCTAGCCTCATGCCCAACCTTTCCTCTTTACCAGCATTATTTCTGGCTTAGCGAGGTAAAGGAGTGCGTCGGCCGGGGATCGAATCCCGGACCATGTGCATGGTCGGCGAGTGTTAGTATGTGCTATTCAATTAAGTCAAGAGTTCGAACTCCCCTTCACCTAATTGTTACTGTTATTGTTAGAACACAAACTTGGTACATTGTGGGTACCAAGAGATGTGCCACACAGTCTCATAGTTTGTACGAGGGCTAGGATACTGCCCAGAACACCAAACCGAAGGGAACACATCCTGAACCTTCGACTTCTTGAAGTCTGATCCACAAGACAGTGGACCAGTGTCAGCAATTGCGTTCTCATGGATCCTGGTTATGAGAAAAAAGCAGGTTCAAACGCCATTCGGTCCATTTGGATTTTTAGAGCCTATATACACCACAAGTTTGGAGTCAGGGTTTTTCAGTTTCCCTAGGTAGACCTGCATGTGTACCAATCTGGCTGTAAGCACCACACTTTCGCATTCTGCCTTTCACTTTTGTGAGGATTACCTCCGCTGCGTGAAGGCAGTAAGTTGAACTTACCCGACAGAGACTATGAATGTGTGGTCACATAAGCAGTCTACCCACCCTTGACTTTTCCAGGTCGTTTATGCAGCCCTAATGATACTTTAGGTAATCAGGTAATAGAATTAGTCGTCGAAATAATTGGTGTGGCTCATTACCACGTGCATATTATATATGCACGTATTTAACATTAGAGTTATGTGATTTTAAAAGCTAACTGCTGTGTTCTACCACTGTGAATAATTTATTATACAGTAGGTGATTATTTGAATGTATTTTAGCCATAATAATAATAATCAATTAAGTGTCACTATTTTTACTGACTTGTTGGTTTTTCTCTCTCTCTTAAAAGTCATATGAACGTGTTTGTCTTTATTTTAGAGTGCCTTTTAAAGTCACATGTATAGTTGTTAACATGGTCACCTTATTCTAATAATAATTAATCAGTGGGGGGTGGGACAATATTTGATTGTTGTTCACATGACTTGATTGTAGTGTCACTAGTATACACGATTTATTTATTGGTGAGCTATTCTTGTGGATTGTAGGAAACTCTTGAGAATCTATTTAATCTTTTTTGTAGTGAAAAGTTTCCCACTTCTTAATGAGTAGATGTTTTTTTCTTCAAGTTATACTCTCAACTCTTTAACTGTATAGTTTTATTATTACCATGATGTAGCTCAAATGGATGTTTTTGATGTGATTGTATTCTCAAAGCCGAGTGGTGTTTAACTGCAAGACTTTAATTGATCTATGTAGACAACAGCGCTTACTTCACAATATGAAGTGACGTTTTTGGAATTCTTCATTCTGATGATGACTTTGGTTATGATTGATTGTTCACATTTGTTTTAGTATTAATCTTTTATTTGCCTGAAATTTGAACTTTTTGTCGTGTGGCGTGTTCTTTTTAAGTCGGTAACTTTGATATCTATGTTAATATGTGTCTGTAGTATGGAGATTATTGGTCTGACAAACGAGGCTTCTAGGAATTCTCTGGCGATTTTAAATGCTTCTGTTGTTTAAGCTTTTCACATATTTTCAGTGAAATTACAGTCCATAGTCGCATACATGAATTATTATTATTATTGTTTCCTTTAATTCCTAGAGGAACATAGGGCTTCAGCCGCGCGTCTCCATTGCGTTCGGTTCTCTGCTAGAGTCTTTACCTGGCTCCAAGTCTGTCCACACGTTTTCATCTCCTCTTCACATGACCTCCTCCAAGTCACCCTTGCACTGACGACCAACTCGCCGCTTCCCTTTCGGGTTCCACTCGAGCAATGGCTTGTCTAGTGATGTCACTTGATGGTTTCCTCAGAGTATGGCCAGCCAATCCATCTCCATTTCTTCCTGCCTATTTGTTTCACAGTCGGTTCCTGTTGGGTTGGTTCGCTCATTGCCAGATATCTCTGTTGCTGATCTTTTCTGGCCGGCCATCTGATCTTGAGTATTGAGCGAAGACAACTGTTAATGAAGGTCTGTAGTTTGTTTGAGATGCTCTTTATGACGCGCAATGCAAGTCTCTGATCCGTATAGTAAGTGGCACTGACTTCACATTGGAGTTGAAAATCCGGATGTTATATTTCATGCTGAGTGCTGTTGACCTCCACACAGACTTGAGAGTAGTGAAAGCTTGTCTTGCTTTTCCGATTCTTGCTTTGATATCCTCGTCAGTTCCGCCTCATACATGAATTGATATAATGAAATATACATATATCGTGTTTTTCGATGGTTAGTCTGTGTTCTTCGATTTCAAGTGGGAGCGGACATCCACTTTGGCGCCTATATACAGTTGATGCAATTTATTTTATAGATTATCTTAATCGTTTCTTCTTTTGTTGATGTGTCTTTTAGTCTGCATAATAGAAGTGATGCATTTAGTTTCAAAGTTATCATAACTCCGTATTCTTCTTTTCTTTTGCTAAATTTCATGTTGTTTGATTAATTAACTTATATTGTATTGTATTAGAAGCAGTTTTTCATATTTAATCAAAGCAACAACACATAAATACTCTATTCAGAAATGGTTGTTCTGATTGCATGCACTGATTCATTTGCGCATATATCTTAGAAGAAATATTGATTGGTCATGATAGAGTCGGTAAATATCTCTATGGCAATGTATTCAAATGTTATTTTAAGAAAATTGACTGTGATGAATATTTTTAGATGTTTATGCCTTGTAAGCTTTCTGTTTACTTAACTATGGATACACAGTTATTTTAAAAACACTCTGATGAATATTTCTTGGATAATTCAGGGGTAGATGAGATATTAACCACTTGCTACAGTGGGATCCAGGATGCGCGTTTCGATTTATTGGGGTGCGTGTGTGTGTGTGGAGACTTGTCAGCTGTGTGTCTTGCATGCCTAATGAGTGATGGTGTTCCTACTGAGATTCGAACACACTGTCCCGAGCGTTTCAAACGCCAAGGCGGTTTACTCACTGATACCCGTCACTTGTGGCTCAGTAGCTAAGTGGATAATGCCTTAGTGTTTGAAACAGTGGGTGCGGTGTCTGAGTCTCAGTGGGAAACGCTACTACTCACTGGGGATATGGGGGCACACACAGATGACGAGTCCCAAATAGGACGAAACGTGCGTCCTGTATTCCACTGCTAGTCAATATCAACTAAGATAACATCATGCCATTCTTCAGATGTCATCGAAGAGTTCTTACTAGAAGCCGAAATGTTAATGGAGGCTGAGCATTTTGGTTCAACATAATCAGTCAACTGACAATGCCAGTGAACCTGGACCAATGGTTGTACTTTGGCTGTAACCACCTCCGAAAAATTCAAACTGAATTTCCGTCTAAGTGACCACGAAATTAAATAGTGTTTTGTATATGTATGTATATATGTAGTATTAAAAACGACAAAGTTTAAAAATACAATGTTTCTTGATGTAAACTGTTTCACAATACAGACAACTAGTCGTCAAGGTCAAAATGAGAGGGTCAGCGAATAGTCGATGAGTTCTTAACTAATTTAGTCTGATATTTTATTTCTGTCATAGAAAGTATATATATATATATCCAATATTAGTGGGTATTCACCAGTCGCAGTTACACTTACTGTGATTACATTCAAGAAGTAGAAGTGAATAAGAAAACGAATTTCATCATGATACTCAATAGTGTTAACGTTCTCAAAGAAAAATAACTGTGGGATAATAAAATATTTAAGATTTTGTAGAAGATGATCAGTGGATAGAAGTCCAAGATATTTCCAAACATATTAACTTATTTATAAAATTATATTTGTAAAATCTCAGCGAAATTGAAATGATTAATTCCAACGTTTCGTTCGGCAATCTGGTCCGAACTTCTTCAGGGAAATTAATCGCAATTAACATAACAGAGGTTTATATATAAAAGGAACATCTCTTCTTTTTGAAACTTTGTCCAATCATGAGTCATGAAACAGGTATCAACTTGTATAATAAACAAATTGTATGAACTGTGATCAAAATTTGACCTCAGACTTTCAAAATTAGTAAACAAAATTATATAGGTTTCCAGGCCGTAGGTGTTACGAACTTCCTGGAATAATTTGAGCGCCGAGTAAGATTGATTCATTATAAATTATTTAAATTAATCCCAGTGTGTTAAGAAAATTAAAACAAGATTTTTCTGAACGTTTCGCTGTGTAAGCCACAGCTTCTTCAGCATATTTATTCGGATTTTTACTAATCATCAAAATATATAGTCAAAATTTTTTTACATAAATTGAAGTCAGTTTATTTGAAGGTCATTTGTCCATGGACATTTTTACCAATAGAAATATGTAAGCAGTCATCACATATATTTGTAATGACTAATGTCAAATTGTTGTTGTGTTCACTCTTCTATAGTTGATTTGTACAGATTAGTTTTGTATGAGTGTGGGATTAATTTAAATAATTTATAACAAAATTATATGTTTATATATAAAAGGATATCTTTTGTTTTTAAATTGTTTGTCCTGTCATATGAATCATGAAACAGGTATCAACTATCCGGTCAAATCTTGATCACAGTTCATATGAATATTAACTTATTTTTCAAAAAGATACTAACACTTTATCGACTGTACATGCTTTTGTACATAATGTAAATTACAAACTAGTTTCTTTATTCATCAAACTCTCGCTGTAATCCACTCATTATGTTGTTGCATCACTCTTATTTTAGGTTGATCCTAATATGTTGTCCTTGCGTGCAGTGTGTGACAATCTCCTTTCTAAAAGGTATACATTTCAAGATACGCTAGGTGAAACAATGCATGTTGTTGAATTTATGGGTGAATCAAAATTATGCTATGACTTTCCAATTGAATATTTGTAAGTTTTGGTGTTTAACCTTAATAATAACATCATCATTGAATAATTATTTCACTCAGCCTTTATGATGCAACAATGTAGTAGATTAACATTCCCAGCTTGATTTTCTATTAGGTGACGTAAATTTGAATGAAACCCGAAAGCCTTGAGAATGTAATAGGCTATAAGTTATGCTTCGTGTGTATATATTGATGACAATAACACGTTTTCCTGATCGAAGTAGGTTAAGAGGGGAGATATAAAACCTGAGGGCTTAAATCAATCTGTATGAGGCATTCGATATGCCTATTATTGTTATCAAAGAAGTCCCAGTTATGTCGTTTTAGTTAACTGCCAGAATAGTCTGTACTGAATAATCTGTTCTCAATAAATTGGAGTTATACAGTTTATTAATTAACTGATGTTGATTCGTGATGAAAACCTAACAATTGAAACTAATCCAAAATCCTTACGAATTTGAATGTCAATCGTCAGCTCACAGATGGCTACTGGATGGATGACCTTAAGCGGTAATGGGAAGCCGTAACCAGTGGGTCCACCGTGTCTAGGGAAAGTGGATGCTCATCGGAGATATTGGTGAGGGCATGAGTTGACAAAGTTAGAATTCACGGATCATTGAATTCCAGTTCAAGTAGCTGAATAGTCAACGAGCTTAATCTTGTAACTTGAAGGTCCCAGGTTTGATCCCTAGTGGAGTCGTGGTTGCGTACCGATGAAGAGTCTGAGAATAGGACGAAACGCTTGTCCGGTGCTCTCTGGTTTTCAGTGATCTCGCTAACTGATGTAGGTTCATGACGAAGATCTAGCAATTGAAAGGTTAATTAAGTGTATACAGCTCTAGTTATTATAACGCTTAGGAATTATGTAAATTGTTACATAAAGTCTCCTTGCAATAATCCGTAAACTTATTGACTGTCGGTTTGAAACATGAAGGGACGTAATGATTCTCATAGAGGCGAGGAGACTCTTAGAATGCTAAGGATCAATAGTCGGTGAAATGTCTTGGAATCTTTCACAATAAGGTAGATAAATTCATTCCTTATCATTTTTCTGATCTTTAAAATCTTCTGTAATCTTCATTTATTCATTTATTGTCCCTCCATTGTAGTATAATTCTACTTCAATTTCCTTCTTTTTAATGTGCTTTTCCGAAATGCGGCAACTGTAACTGTTTATATTTATGAACAGATTTGCCTTGCTACGTCAATTAGTCAGTTAATCAGCCAGTTGCTTTGTGTGATTTCGATCTCTTAGCATTGGCTTGATAGGTGAAAGAGAACTACTTGACTTAGAGTACACAGACTACATAGCCTTATTAAGTGAGGATGCTATCGTGGATTACCCTGATCGCAAGTTTGAATGTTGGACATTAATTTATCTCTATCAAATGTAAAATATTGCTACATAAACTGGTCAGTAGAGATATGGCTCATTAGCTTAAACACTTGATTCACAACCAATTGGTCCCCAGTTCGAATCCCTCCCCAGCTACTTCAGCCTCGGTAACTGGATAATAAGTATCATCAACCGTTGTTACACAATGTGTAGCGCATGAAAAATCTGTCCCGGATAACTGAGTTCAGACAAAGATGACACGTATTCTAAGGATCAGTATTGAGGTGGTTAAGTGTGTCGACAATTCGATTTATTTGTATAGCTGTATCATCTACTTCTACTCATTTAAAAGTCAAATAATTTGTCTTTGCTAATGATTCCACTTACCTTTTAAACAGTTATTCACATTAATCTTTCTCCATTGTGTATTCATATTTATCTTCCCACTTTCGTTTCAGCTAATGTTTATTCATTATTTTGATATTTTTAAACTATCTCTAGTTTTTATTTCTCTTTTTAATTATTTTATTCCTTTAATTTCCTAGTGGAACATAGGGCTTCAAGCTAGAGCTTTGAAGCTTCGGTAGCAGCGGATTTTTATTTTTACGGGATTGGGTTTCTTACCTCATGCCCAACCTTCCCTCCTTACCAGTCTTATAACTAGCTTAGCGAGGTAAAGGATTGCGTCGGCCGGGGATCGAATGCCGAACCACCTGCGTGGTTGGCGAACATTCTGCCTCTGTGCCACCGACGCACAGAAGTAACTGATTATTCTTACATCTATTACATTCTTACATCTGTTAGTTTATTCAGAAGTCTATAAAATACACTCTAAAGCAGTTTGAAGCTTAAAACTGGTTAATTATTGAAATGACTATCAACTGTTGTTGAAGTTATTTAAGACCATAGATGTCAATGTAATTTGGTGGATGATGGCTAACAGTGGGATCCAGGATGCGCGTTTCGTCCTACTTTGACTCATCATCTGGTTACAATTGATAAGTTTGCTTTAGTGCAATTTTTCCTTTCAACTCTAAGTGACACTTGAATAAATAGATATTCAAACCTGTCTAGTCATTGTGTATTTCTTTCCTTCTTCATTGTTATATTACTGTATTTCAGTGTATAGAACCCATTGTTTTAATGAAAATGTAGATTCGTTGGAATTTTCGCTTTTTTTGAATGTATTGTGTATATTTATCATTTTCCTAATTTTACGTCTATTTTATTCATAGAAAACTACTAATCCAGTCAGAATACTTAATATACGATTCTTTATCGAGAACAGGATCAGTGAGTCTTGTTTATTGCTACTTTTTTTTACATTGAGTTAAAGTCGAATCAGAGTATGTCATGGTTCTTTGATATTTTGTGAAATAATAATAATAATAATTGTTATTCAAGTGTTGGTTTGCAGGGATTAGATTGGTTTCAGGATTTCATCATGAACTGACATTGGTTAAAGGATCACTGGAAAACCTGGGAGTACTAGACAGCTGTTTCATCCTAGTTTGGGACTCTTCATCAGTGCGCACCCACTGAGGTTCGAACCCAGAACTTTCTGGTTCCAGCAGGTCGGCTGCGAGGCCAAATACTCGCCGATGACACTCACTAGTGGTAGCACCATATCATGAATCGTTAGAAGTTGGAATTCATGGACCATTGGATCAGTTCCCAGTGGCTCGCTTTGTAACCCGAAGGTCCTGGGTTCGGATCTCAGTGGGTGTGTACTGATGAAGAGTTCCAAACTAGGACAAAACGTCTGTCCATTACTCCCAGGTTTTCCAACAGTCCTCTAACTGATGTCAGTTCATGATGAAATCCTGGGACAGTAATTGTAACAATAATTTCTAAAGTGAACTCGTTGTTCATTATCTTATTCTCTCTAATATTATTTTTCCTTATTTGCGTTCCGAGTAGAACATAGTGCTTCACAGCCTTAAGCTTTTAAGTTTCGGTAGGGTTAGTGTTCTTTTTTTACGGTATAGGATTGCTAGCCTCACGCTCAACCTTCCTTCTTTTACCTGGCCTACTACCGACTAAACAAGACTTAGGAGTGCGGTGGTAGAGAATCAAATACGTGGACCACAGATACACAATAGGGACTGTCCTTTTTCTGATTATTCGTCAAATCTAGACGCTAGTACATGTGTTAATGTGGATTAACGTATCACTATTATTGACAATATTTGTATATTCCAGTGGCAGATTGAATATTGCCAGGAATTCAATAAAAATTGTTTCAATTTGTTGAATAATTATTTTTATTGCTTGATAATTCGTTTTATTTTATTGGGACAACTTTAAAAAAAAAGTTGAAGTAGTTCAGTGTCTTATGTATATATTTATGGCGCGCATCCATTATTGGTGTCTTTCCTCTCTGAAGACAGACAGCTTAATATGCCACTTGAGAGTTGAAATATTCCCCCATCAACTTGTAATTATAATTCACTAGATGCAATAACATTTATTTATACTTTTTGACTGTGGAAGTAAACCCTACTAATATTCTGTATAAATTAACAGTGATATTTTAAAGCCTGGTGTTTAACTGGTATCTCTTACTGGGGTGGGGCGGGGGGATAACAATATTTTGTCAGACGGTCAATAAATAAAATCAACTGACATTTGGTTTGTTGTTCTTAGGACCATTTATCAGTTTTTGTTTAATAAAAGTGTATTGATTCGCTTATTCGCTGCCGAGCTCCTCAGTGGTATACCCAGTTTCACTCTACTGAGAGAGAGAGAGAGGTTGAACTGGTTTAAACCACACTTGGGCGCGACCTGGTAATACTTTAGATCAGAATCACCATTAGCAATTTACACAGTTTAAGGTGACATTTCACTATGGTTTCTTTTGGAAACTGAAATGATTGAGATCAGAACGCTGATGAGCTTGACCCGCAGAACGAGCGAAACGGCCTTACAGTGTTTAGGTCATTTCGATCTGGTAGCAAGCACTACTTGGCGCGTCATAAAGAGCACCTCAAACAAACTACAGACCTTCATTAACAGCTGTCTTCGCTCAATACTCAAGATCAGATGGCCTCAGAAAAGATCAGCAATAGAGATCTCTGGCAATGAGCGAACCAACCAGGAACCGATTGTGAAACAAATAGGCAGGAAGAAATGGAGATGGATTGGCCATACTCTGAGGAAACCATCAAGTGACATCACTAGACAAGCCATTGCTCGAGTGGAACCCGAAAGGGAAGCGGCGAGTTGGTCGTCAGTGCAAGGGTGACATGGAGGAGGTCATGTGAAGAGGAGATGAAAACGTGTGGGCAGACTTGGAGCCAGGTGAAAACTCTAGCAGAGAACCGAACGCAATGGAGACGCACGGCTGAATCCCTATGTTCCTCTAGGAATTAAAGGAAATAATAGTGATAAATAATAATAATAGCAAGCACTACTTCTGGTTGGTGTGAGTGGTGTCCAACTACTCATTTCAACCAGTCAGTAGTATATAGCTTCATGAACCATGGATTAGACTATTGTCCATCTGTTGTGTGTAGTCTACAAATGCCAGTAGCGCTATATCCTTCATACGGTACGTTTGTCATGTTGTATAGAGTTGCATATGTTTTTCACGACATTGTGTCATTACACAGTTTTTTTTTAAAATATACCAATAATTCAAATAATATTAATAAAATAATAAAAATAAATATTTTATAGATGTGCGTGTACTGTACCTGTTTTTAGGCTATTTGAACTTTTTACCGTAGCAGTCAGTGTATTTGTAAGTGGAATGTCGAGATTACTCAGCCACAACCGTTTTTTTTACATCTGAACATATTACCGTATATTTGAAAAGTGGTCGATATTATTATAGTCTGTTAGCATATGTTATTATTATTTTTGCAATAGGGATTTCACACTATTACTACTACTTCTTGTAATGGAGTTTTGTATACAGTTTGCATACTTTTACACTGAATTGTCTATTTGGCATTTATCATAGTAATAATAATAATAGTAATAGTAGTGGATTGAAATGACGCGGTTCAATCTCTACTTTTTTATTGATTATATATTTAACACATTTTTCTATGTGATAACTTAACATGTGAATATACATACAGTTAACTTTTCATTATTTCAGACATGTAAGCTTACTTACACTTTTACACATTTACCATAAGATAAATCACGTGATTTGCTTCGGATATGGTATTATAGTCTTTGTCTGTGCACACGAAAAAAGTACACATGTCATGATTGATTTCACTGTTTCTCACTCTCTCTCTCTCTCGTCTCGACAAGACACATAAGATGAAGGAAGTAATCCTTATCCTTGTTATTTAATTTTTGTTTTTATCCATTCACCTTACACAGTAGTAGTAGTGGTAGTGGTAAAGGTGACCTAAAAACTGGAAAGAAAAAAAATTACAGTGTGATTGGCAAGTATGAAATAGGTTGTTTTGTGTCGGAAGAAAATGCAAAATGTGTTTTCCGTATCTGGCATGCGATAATACCCCAGACATTACATCAATAGAACAGTTAAAAAAAGCTGAGAACTGTTCTACCCACACACATACACACACACATACCTACTTGTTTATAATAAATCCTATATTATAATAAAATGACTCCTTAGCCAAGCATCCTTTAATATAACATGTATAATATTATTATTCCCTTGGGTTCCTAGTGGAACATAGGGCTTCAACTACACGTCTCCACTTACTTCTGTCTTCTGCTGTACTTTTCACCTGCATCCATGTTAGTCCATACTTTTTCAACTCCTCTTCACACGATCTCCTCCATGTCACCCTTGGACGTCCAACTCGCCGCTTCCCTTTCGGGTTCCACTCGAGCACTGGCCTGACGCGCGATGTCACCCGACGGCCTCCTCAACGAGTGTCCATTCCATCTCCAATTTCCCCTGCATATTTGTTGGGCGATTGGTTCTTGTTTTGTTTGTTCCCATAGTTTCTTGTTGGTGATTCTTCCCGGCCATCTGATCTTGAGTATAGAACGAAGACAGCTGTTGATAAAGGTCTGCAACAGGCTGTTGGAAATATTCTTTGTGACACACTGGCCAAGTTTCTGATCCGTATAGAAGAACTGACTAACTTGACGTTTGTATTGAAAATCCGAATTTTGTTGTTGATGCTGAGTGACGAAGATTTCCAGATTGGTTTCAGGTTGATGAATGTGTTTCTCGCCTTCCCGATTCTCGATTTGATATCCTCGTCCGTTCCTCCTGTAATGTATAATATTCGATTGACTTTAATCACAGATGGACATTAAGTGATGAATATAGGCCTTACAAAGTAGTCGATTAGTTCATGTTTAGGATTATTCAGCAGTCACACCGAGAATGTTAGACGTGAAAGCATGCACACTCTTGACGTGCATGCCGAGACACCGTCTTTCTTGGCAACGTATGTTAGCTGACGTAAGGTTGGGTTGAAAAAGAGTTAAAGTTAAGCCAAAATCAGGCATCTGTTCATGAAGTCGCTGACAGTTGTTTCTGGCCAACTATGTAGGGAAGTGTGTAGACTGTCTGGTTGGTGATGTCCTCAAGATGATTAATGGCTTTAGACTATTGGTGGTCATTCTCAGTGGCACATATGTACACACTCCCTCTGATCTCCTCTGTCCATTAAACTCTCATGTTTTTTTCCATTTTAGTATTCTTTCTCCCGCACAGTTATGCTTATTATAACTGTCTTAAATATCTTTCTTCTGTTTTCTCTATTTGTATGTGTGTGGGTGTGCTACATGAAGTATGGAAACTTGAATTGTCAAATTCCTGTGCAAAGTTCTACATTGAAAATCAGTCAGTTAGAATACTGCATGCACATTAGCATTCATCTAATCTAGTTACATATAATTTTTAACCTTAGCCAATTCGGGTAACTGTCAATTAGCGTTATTTTTCTAGGTAGCTATCTTCATAACCAGATTTGTTGGTCTCACCAACAGCAACTTCTCACTTTATATATCAAAATCTATATCAAAATTTTAACGACAATATCGAACCCGAAAAAACAGCATCCTTCCAGTTGTGTGATATCCGGCTGCCGATAAAAGGGTGTGTGTATTGCTTAGCAGTCCGCTCCGAAACATGGCCATTGAAAGTGGAAGATAGGAAAAGGCTAGCTGTCTTTGATTATAGATGTCTGCGTTTTATCTCCCGTGTTAAGTTGCATGATAAGGTGAGCAATATTGAGGTTAGGCGTCGAGTGCTAGGTAAGGAGGGAAAATCGATCAATGAGGTTGTGATGTTATGCCGATTGAGATGGTTAGGACGTGTGTTGCGTATACCTAGCCATCGCCTTCCTCGACGGTCAATGTTAGCTGACAGGATGGATCAGGTCAGAAGGATGCTAGTGGGGGGGGGAGTCAAACGAAAATATGGCTTTATGAGTCAATGAAATCCACAACAGTTAGTTTAAACCAGCCACGTAGGAAGGTGTACACTGTCAGGTTGGTTGGGGTCTTTGGGATGGTAAAAACTAAGGCCTGGAGAAAATTGGTGATATGGCTGAAAATCGTTCTCAATGGCTGGTGCAGATGCATTCACTCTTTGTGATTTATCATATCCATATTACTATTCATTTGCCCTCAAATTTCTGTTTATTAGCTCTCTTTTTAATCTCTCTTTGTATGCTACAAGTAGGGAGGGTGGCAACTTCAACTGCTGCACATCTGTGCAAAAGTTCTGCGTTGAAACCAGTCAGTCAGTCAGTCATCCTTACAGTTGTTATGTCGGGTTTAGTCTGTTTTAGTAGCTGGTTTTAAGATTATGGGGATTATTAAGCGTATATGACACCAAGAACATTTAGATTGTTATACAGTCAACTGGTTCGGTAGCTGTTGTTTTCATCCCTTGTCAAGTTTATTGTCTGATGGTGATCTATGGCGAAAACTTTTGCGAAATGGTATAGTCAGCCTGGGGCCGGGTATGTAACCAATCAAATCCCTGCAAAACAACACTCGAAAATTAATCTGTTGCTCACTAGCTATTGGCTTTATGAAGGAAGTTACTTGAAATTCCAGTGGGAAGTTGTGACTGGCGGTGTCCACCAAGTCAGGTGAGAGATCGGTTACTCGCCTATGACATTGGCTGGCGGATATATATGTACATATCTCGTGAATTCTCAGGCGTTTGAATTCATGTGCCATTGGATTGTATCTCAGTGGTTTAATGGTCTTTGAGGTCTTCTTGTTACTGAAAGGTCCTGAATTCAGACGCCAGCGAGTGCATGCCGATGAAGAGTCCCAAAGTAGGACGAAACAACTGTCCACTGCTTCCAGGTTTTCCAATGGCTCTCTAACTGATGTCAGCTCGTGATTAAATCTGTAACCAATCAAATCCCTGCTGAAGAACACTTGGAAATGCCTAATAAACTAGATTTCATGCCATTTTTCTAGGTTTTTATGCATACTGCTGATGTACACATTTCTCTAATAACAACAATAATATTTCCTTAGCATGTATTTGATTTTCCCTTTGTCAATCTAGCAATGATGTTATCAATTCTTTTCTCTGCAAGAAATGAACACTGAAGATAAACTAGCAGGTGTACTATAAAAAGAAATTGTTTTTGAAATACCATAGTACACTGTATTGTACACTGATGCCTTTAATTTAGGATACAGTAAAATAATGTTTTGATGTAATTTTAAGGGAATGACAACAAGTTTTGAAGTTGATTGATGTAGATGTCAAGTTGATTAGAAGAAGAAAAAAGAGAACGTGGAAAGGCTACTAAGAAAAATAAACACGTGTTAGAGAAGTAGCCATTGTCTTTCTTTTTGGTTTCACAATTCTAGGACATTTTATCTCTATATTCGCTGACTGATTCTTTTAAATTTTGTTGCTAATTAGTTAGAAATTTTTAAACGCACTTAGTGTAAACCTGTAGCATTTACGTGTCATGTGTATTTATTTTCTTTCTTTCTCTTCCACCCTCGCCACCCCACCCCACCTCCGGTTTTCTTAAATCGCTTGTAGTTGAAAGTCTTTTTTTCCAGTTGTTACTCGAGCCTTTATTACAAAATCAAAGTTACTTGTTTGACGGTGGTTAACAGTGGAACCGAATAGGCGCGTTCCATCCCATTCGGGACTCCTCGTCTGTACGTACCTACCCCTCAAGTAAGTGATGGTGTTCTGAATAAGAATCGAACCTAGTAACCGGTACTCCGGACGTCAAACAGCTATCCAGCTAAGCCAATGGGCCACTGAAACCCCCCTTTAAACATGTAACTTTGAGTGTTTAACTCCAAGGGTATCCTAATATCCTCTCAAGGAGCTCATTGACCAAAAAGAAGATGATTGATTCAATCAGTTAAATCAACGGGAAAACCGTCATCATCATCAGATTTCAAAGGTTTAATTGAGATTTTGCCAAAATGCTATCAGTATGGTCAGTTAGAGACTTATTATTATTTCCTTTAATTCCTAGAGGAACATAGGGACTCAGCCGTGCGTCTCCATTGCGTTCGGTTCTCTGCTGGAGTCTTCACGTTTTCATCTCCTCTTCACATGACCTCCTCCAAGTCACCCTTGCACTGACGACCAACTCGCCGCTTCCCTTTCGGCTGGGTTCCACTCGAGCAATGGCTTGTCTAGTGATGTCACTTGATGGTTTCCTCAGAGTATGGCCAATCCATCTCCATTTATTCCTGCCTATTTGTTCCACAATCGGTTCCTGGTTAGTTCGCTCCCAGAGATCTCTGTTGCTGATCTTTTCTGACCGGCCATCTGATCTTGAGTGTTGAGGGAAGACAGCTGTTAATGAAGGTCTGTAGTTTGTTTGAGGTGCTCTTTATGACGCGCTGGGCAAGTCTCTGATCCGTATAGTAAGTAGCACTGACTTTACATTTGAGTTGAAAATCCGGACCTTATATTTCATGCTGAACAGTGCTGTTGACCTCCAAACAGACTTGAGAGTAATGAAAGCTTGTCTTGCTTTCCCAGAGACATATAGACTTCATATAAAACATTCTGCTAATTGTTTTTCTTAACTGATAGACAGGAATTGTTCTCTAGTTTTCACTTAAAAATATAATATTGCCTTCATTTAAAAAAAGAATTAAAATAAGTATTGATGAATGGTTGACAGTCTGTTTTTTTGATTCTTTTCACTCTTTCTGTCAGTCTAAACCTGTTCTCGAGAGTTTAAGAAAAGAGAGATTAATCAGCCTAAAGCAGACTTTGGAACGATATGAAGCCAATCTAAGAAATCTAGTAGATTATTCTGGTATGTAAAACAAATTTTTCTGTCATTTTCTTTTTTTTTAATTAACTGATTAATTAATAACATTTCAGGTAATTGTTTTTTTTTTACAGGCGTAGTTATATGTGCCTTATAACCTGTAAATCATATATGTCATTATCGGCGTTTTCTAGACTATAGTCTCTACTCTATTTAAACTTTTCATACTAAACTCTATGAAAACACTATAGGTCTGTAAATTATTAACATTTTGATATCATTTGTGATATGCTGGTCCACACTCTGTGCATGTATTGTTTCAACTCTAAAGTTGATAAAGTGCTCTTTAATATATGGTCTACAAATGTGATACAGCAAGTGAACTGTTAAGTAGTTTTAGAGGTCAATTGACACGACGCCTTGGTCGATCTAAGTTTTAAGCTTGTTGTCAATCATTAGAACTGTACATCATCTAAAACTTTGAGGAAAAGTTGTGTTTCTGCTTCATTTAAAGTATAAAATCAGACTCTATACCGTTAAGTTTTTCAGGTCATAATTAACCCTCACTTGTCATCCATGCCTAAAGTTCATGTTCATCTGATCGATTAGTTTCGACCCATAGTTAGAGAGCTGTTTCAGTTATCATCCTGTGATAATTTCATATATGATGTATTAATCATTACCGAGTAATATTGATTACTAGTGTCTTCAAATGTAGTAAAAGCGAGCAGTAGATACTTTCAGTTGGACAGTATTAATCGAAGTCAATGAATGAACATTTACTTATCTTTTTCTCAGAACTAAAAATCATAATATTCGACCATATATATATATATATATATATATATATATTCTATAGTTGCTTTATAAGAAATAGATTTGTTTTTAGGAGTTGATCACGGATTGATATCAGTTAAAGAACCATTGAAAACCCGGGAGTACTAGACATCCGTTTCATCCTAGTTTGGGAATCATCGTCAGTACGCACCCACCAACGGGGTTCGAACCCAGGATCTTCCAGTTACAAGGCAAGCTCGTATACCATTCAGCCACTGGGACCCGATTCAATGGCCCATGAATTCTAACCTCTACTATAAGACATCCAATGGTGTCCCAAACCTGACTGTTGACAATGACACAATCAAAGAGGATTAAGGAAAAGCAAAAGCAATAGCAGACTACTTCTCTGAAATCTTTACACAGGAGTAAACACTTCCCATATGATCAGCTCTAGCCACATCAGGGGAACACAGGATAGACTCCACTGACACAGGCCAAGACATCGTGCTCAACTGTTTGAAGAAACTAGAAGCCACACTTATTGTTTGTGTGCTAGTGATACTACTTGGTTGCCCAAACTGAAGTAGGTGGATCCCGGGGATTCCCACCCCGGGACCCATTGACTGAAAGTCGAGTGCTTTAAGCCATGGTGACACATCTCCACAGTTGTGACCCATGCCATTCTAGATTGTTATTGTTGAGTTGCTAGAGAATAACGAAGTGATATTACAAGAAGTTCTGATTTGATATTATCTGATTAAGTTGATGTTCGATGCTGCGAATTGAAAATGTTACGCTTACAGCAAAGCGGAACGACAGCACCTTTAATTATATACTTTATCATTTCATAGAATAAATACTGTTAATATGTGATTTGGTTAATTTTTTTCCCTTTGAATCGTTTCAGGTCCTCATTTCAAAGCATCTACAGAGCGTGCTAATCCTCGTTATGATTTTGTTCCTGTCAATCTACATGTTAATCAGATAGCAATTACAAATATTGACGGACAAATCGGTGAGAATAAAGGGGATTCTTTTTTTCTTTTCTTTCTTAAAGATAATGATTGATGTTGAAATGAGAAATGTTTTTGTTTAACTTAATTTCCTACCAGTTCTTTGTAAAGTGTATATTTAGTGTCTTGTCATGTCAACCATATATTTGTTATATATTAGGCACACTAAGCTTCCTGATTTGGTTGGATTCTCTGAGCTGGTTGATTTAACTGCGAAGCTAACATTCTCCTTCTAGACCACATCTTCAAGCATAAGCTCCAGTATGAAATGAACTTGTCTGAATTCTCCATGAATGATGTAATTGGATCTTCATGACAGCCATTGTCGTGATTGGTTGTCATTTTGTTGGTTGTTCATTTTTATTGACTTGGAATTTCAACTTTCTTGTCACGTGATTTAATTTTTATTAGTTGGTTAATTTTATCTATATTGATGTGTTTATGAATCAGCGATTCATTTGAGTACCAGGCTTCTAGAAATCCCCTGGTATTTTTGGTGTTGCCTCTGTTTAAAATTTCTGCATTCTCCCAATCAAATTGCCACTCGTAATTATCTATATGTATCGATATGAAAGAATACATATAGTGTCTATTCACAGGTAGTTTATATTCGTGTATTCTGATTCGATGGGGACGCCCACTTTGACCAATATAGTGTTTATCGCAGTCTATTTTGTAAATGATGTTGATCTTGTCCTCTTTTGTTGTTGTATCCTTTGGCCTGTGAATCAAGATGTATGCTTAATCGATCATGATTCGAATAGAAAGTTAATATGATTAACATCATTTATCAGTTAGGATCTAGTTAGTTGTTAGTTAGATCTCATTTACCCAGTGCTGGGCTGACTGACTATAAGCCTCACATATTATTTTGGGGGGCTATTGATACTCCCCGGTTGCTCAGCTTGAAGTAGGTGAAGCGAGATTCCAATCCTGGGACGGATTGACTGAAAGTTGAGTGCTTTAAGTCATAGCGATACATCTCCACAGTTGTGATCCATATCCTTAAAGAATGTAGTTGTTGAGTTGCTAGAGAATAACGAAGTGATGATTGTTTCGCATTTGTTACTAGGATTCACCTAGGTACTGGTAATGTAAAAATAATTTTTAATTGAAGTGACTTTTAAGACTAAAATTATTTGGGAGAGAACAGTTAATTGTGTTAGATTTAACTGTGCTAAACACTTTAGATTATTATAACGTTATTGTCTAAAGTGTGCGTCGGTGGCATAGCGGTTAGGACGCTCGCCGATCATGCACATGGTCCGGGGTTCGATCCCCGGCCGGCGCACTCCTTTACCTCGCTAAGCCAGAAGTAATGCTGGTGAAGAAGAAAGGTTGGGCATGAGGCTAGCAACCCCATCCTGTGAAATAAACACTGCTACAGAAACTTCAAGCCACTAGCTTGAAGCCCTATGTTCCACTGGGGAACGTGAAGGAAAAAGAAATGTCTAAAGTGGAGTTCATTATTGGAATTCTATTCTATTCTTTTCAATGAGTCAATAAGCTATCAGCATAATTTTACCTTCATCATGGCAATACTTGTTTGTCATTAATAACTGATACTGAATGAACTCGACAAATTTAATTTTCAAACTTTTAGACTTTGATCGTAAAGTGTGTTTATGCAAAGTATTCGTTATATTCGCGCTTTGATAAACAAACTTGAAAGCTTTGTTTCTCTTTGTTTTATTTAAATCAGTGTCACATTTGATAAAAAAAATACATTGTGGATGGAAGATAAAAAAACACACACAACTAAAGGTGTATATGAATCCAACTGAGTATCCAATTACACGTTTCGACACAGTGTTCTTTTCATACTATGTAAAATGTGGTTACTGTATTTTATACTATTCATAGTGAAGTCTTGATACTTAAACGTTGAACTGCTTTCTTCTATATTCTTCTATAGAAATATTCGGCTTTTAACACATAGGTCACACGACTTCAATTGATAATCATTATCATTTGACCTCATATAAAAGATATGATTAGTAATGGATAAATGGCTTCATTTAGGAAGAAAGCAGTTATATTTAACAAGACCAAGCACTCGTCGAATTATTGTCAGAAAGGGAAGAAATAGAAAAATTGCAGAACTTTCACCATTGATTACGATTCTTGGCCATATCCGATAATGTTTCGAGCCAACCGATTCGACCTATCTCTTGGACGACCCCAACCAGGGGGCGGTGATGTGTGCCAAGTGATGCTGGGGTAACACAAATATCCTTCATCCCATGATGCCACATCATGGGTTGGCCACCTCTCCACTTTTCCACCCTAGCGAACAGAGAGCAGTACGGAAGCCTCTGGGATGATATTCGTAGCCCATCCCCAGGACACCGGAGCTGGTGTTTCCAGATGAAAACACTCAATCTAAATGGTGATCTCCACTGTGTTCAAACACACGCCACCGAACCTCAGAGTTACTCACGCGATGGTGCCATTGAACGCAAGTTATTCCACGGAGACAGCGATGATCGAACATGCAGAACCGCCGCACATCCTCAGCCCGAAGAGACCAGGCCTTACAGGAGTAGAGCAAGACAGCGCTCATCAAAGCATTATAAACCCGACCCTTGGCAGTCAGGCTAACGTCGCAGCGGCGTTAGAGGTGGCTCAAGTTGACTTATGCCACCCTAGCTTTCATGATACGGTTGGAAATCTCATCCGTCACCCCTCCGCCAGCACTCACACAACTACCTAGGTACACAAACTTATCGACAACTTCAAGCGGCTCACCCACAAGAGTGAGTGCAGGTACAGGCTCCTTCCAATCTTGTAAGAGTACTTTGCATTTAGACCGCGCAAAGCATATACCATACTTACAGACACTGATCGCCAACTGATTAAGTGCGATTTGGGCAGCTTGCACGCTATCGCACAGTAAGATAATATCGTCTGCATACTCGAGGTCGAAAAGTCTATCTCCAGGTAGCAGATCTACACCACCTTCACGAACATCCTTCAGAGCTGACTCCAGAATGTCATCGATGGTAAAGTTAAAGAGAAATGGAGAGATTGGGCAACCCTGTCTAACCCCACTGTTGGTTGGGAACAGTGATGATAGTTGGTTGTATGCCCTCACTCTACCTGAGGTGTTTCTGTATAGGGCTTTCAAGATGTTAACAAATTTCTCAGGTACACCTCTCTCTAACAGACAGTTCCAGAGCACAGTTCTGTCCAACGAATCGAAGACAGTCCTAATATCAAGAAACACAACGATCGTTGGTCTGCAATACGTGTGGCGGTGTTCCAACAACTGACGAAGGGTGAACACATGATCAATGCATCCATGACCTGAACGAAACCCAGCCTGCTCTTCGCGAATCAATCCCTCACGTATTTTGCACAGCCTGCGAAGCAAGACAGCAGCCAATAATTTAGACGCAACTGGTAGCAAACTGATACCCCTGTGATTGTCACACGAATCACGTCGACCCTTTTTAAAGATGGGGACGATGATGACCTCATTCCACATTGATGGCACATCCTCAATTTCCCATACTTTCCTAAACAAACTGGTCAAAGCCGTGACGAGAATCTCACCACCATCTTTAAAAAGGGCCGCGTAGATTGTCTGGGCCGAGCGCCTCATGGCGTTTTTATACTTGGACCTCCCGTTTGGTTGGTGGATCGATACTAACCGACCAAGTAGCACTGGAGCTGGTGACAGTGGAAACTGAAACTGGTGGCCAGCTAAACTGTTTCCCGAAGTGCTCTGCCCAGCGTTCCAGGCATCTTTTCAGGTTTGTAATCGGCTTGCCATCTGCCTCACAGACAGTCTTGCTGACGCCTTGTTTCTAGCTGCCGGTGGCTCGAATGAGCTATAACAGATACAGCTTCTGACTCCATCTCACGCGCATGTCCTAAACATCAGGCTTCGCAGTCCTTACGTGAACACTGTTTAATCTTGCCTTTCGCACATTGTTGTACTCACTACCTGCCTGAATGGACTGGCGTTCATTCGAGAGTTGCAAGGAATTCTCAGAAACCCAGTGATTTTTAGCATAGGATTCTTTTAAGCCTCAGGCGATTTCACTTGCCATTTGCACGTCGCCTTGCAGATGATTCCAGTGTTCATGTATGGGAGGGTTGCTAGCAAGCTGTAATTGTAACTATGTCTGGTATTTTAAAGAGGTTTGAAAATGACACCGTTTATGAACCCCACCAAATCGTAAGACGAACCTGGTACACACTAAAGCATGATCGGAGTCCAGACATGTGCTCCAGGAGGAGCGGAATTCATGTATGCATCCTCACCATCGGAGACTGACAGCGGTATGATCAATTCGGGTTCAGGCTTGATTCACAGAGGGAGGAGGCCAGGTAGCGCTACGGTGATGGCTGTGCCGGAAGTTGGTGCTGGCTAGAAACAGGCTGTGATCTGCGTAAAGCTGCAGAAGACGGTCCCCATTATCTAACCTACGACCATGTAAGCCCCACTAACCACCTGGAAAATCCTCGTCTGAGCTTAGACACCCAACCTGTGCATTCAAGTCTCCAGCCAGCATTACGATATCCCTGCGACCCGCCTGTTTCAAGAGATCGCTCAGTTGGTAGTAGAACTCATCCCTAATTGCATCTGGGCTGCAATCCGTCGGTGCATGGGCAGAGACAACAAATAGACACCGCCTATCTGACCTACCACTCCTTACTTTCGTATAACCTTCCAGCCTCACAGCACATAAACGACTGTTAATGGGGTTCCAGTCGAGTAATGCAGCCTCGGCTGTAGTTCTTAGTGCGATACCGACACCAGCTATATCGGATGCCGATGGCACAGGATCCCCGGATGAACACAGGTGGTACATACCATTCGAACTTTCAGATGGAGAAAGTACTCGAAGCACTTCACTGGGATCTTAAATGCTGGTCTCCAAAATGCAGCAGACATGGGTAGCGAAACTTTCGAATGTTCTCACCAAACCTGCCTGTTGTCAAATTTCCATCAGTGTCCGAACACTGTAGGTGGCAAGCTTGGGCGCAGCACACGGTTTCAGGATATCTGTGTTAGATGTCGCACTGGGGAACACCATTTTGAAAGCTACCCGCTGACATCTTGGAACGGCACAGACAAGCTGAGAATTCGGACAAGGGCGAAAGGCTGACGAAAGTGAAGGCTGTAAGGATAGCTAAAGTAAAATACAAGAGTCAATGTATTTAAATAAAAATAAGGTTGAAAAGAAATGCGTCACTTGAAATATCACTTTTCTAGAGTATTGTAATGAGGTGCGATTAGTTTTACTGGTGGTTCGTTGTTTCATTTCATTGGTTGTATGAGGGCTGAGATACTGCCTGGACGCCCAGACCTAAGCAGGTGGCTGTCTTAAAGAACTTCCACTTGGAGTCTAATTCTCAAGGCAGTTGAAGTGCGTCAGGAGCTACGTTCCCATGGTTACCGGTGATCAATACAGGTTCATACGCCATTCGATCCGATTGGATTCTGGAGCCCATGTACCCCATGGTAACTGCTTTCAGTCCAACCACTAACCATACAACCTTGCTGGCATACTAAGACCTGCAGGAATATAAGTCCCAGCCAGTCTATACAATCCCGACCACCACAACGAGGTAGCAGTTGTCGACCGGAGATGTGATTAGTTATCAAGTATATTAAGAAGTACATGTTTATTGAGGTTTACATGCTCCGTGTTCTATTTTGGCTTTCGTAATACTTAACTGTAAATAAATTTATCAGCTCCTTTAAGTTGATTATTAGTAGTTTGAATGTTTTTATTTAATTTATAATCATCATTACTTTTATGAAAGATATGTTTTAATAAAACATCTTTCATCCTTGTGTACCTTTTATTTCTTTCGTATAACTTTCTTCCATTAGTTGGCATATTTTTATTGATTTGTATTATGTAAGCTTTTTAATCTGTTATACATTCAGTACTTTGAAATCTCAGTAGAGATGAGAAAATTTATGTTCCATGTTCATGCAAGCTTGAGCATAGATCATATCTTCACTCTCCGACAGATCCTAGAACATAGACACACTTTTCGGTGTCCAACAATTGCCATATTTCTTGACTTGAAGGCGGCCTTCGACTCCGTGGATCGAAAGGTACTATGGCAATGTTTGACTGTGAAGGGAGTGCCAAGGAAGTACATTACATTAATCAAGGCACTCTACTCAAACTCACGTAGCCGTGTAAGGGCTTATGGGGAATTGTCATCTGAATTGATAACAACCAGTGGTGTCCGTCAAGGATGTCCACTTTCCCCATTTCTGTTTAACTTCATCATAGATATGCTAATGGAAGTATCCTTAACTGAACTTAACGACTTAGGAATCGACTTGTTACTAGGTAATAGTCTTATGCACTTAGAATATGCAGATGACATAGTCCTGTTAGGGGAGGACGCTGACAAAATGCAGAGTCTTCTGAACACCTTGAGTAGCAATCTTCGAATGTTTGGCATGCGCTTCGCCCCTGTAAAATGTAAGATGCTGCTACAGGACTGAACCACATCAACTCCTAGCTTAGTGATAGGGAGTGAAGTGATAGAACATGTTGACCACTTCACCTATTTGGGAAGTTGTATCAGCACCAACAGATTGATTGGTGACGAAATCTCAGCACGGATCCAAAAGGTTCGGGCTGCTTTCGCTAGCTTACGACATCTCTGGCGTGGGCGTGACATCCGGTTATCAACCAAGAGACGTGTGTACTGCTCAGCAGTTCGCTCCGTCCTTGTCTATGGCTCTGAAACATGGCCAATACGAGTTGAAGACATGAAAAGGTTGACTGTTTTTGATCGTAGATGTCTACGATCTCTTTCTCACGTTAGGTGGTATAATAAGGTAAGTAATGTTAACGTTAGGCGTAGAGTGTTGGGCAAAGAGGGAAAATCAATCGACGAGGCTATTAAGTTATATAGATTGAGATGGCTAGGTCACGTGCTGCGCATGCCTGACCATCGCCTCCTCCGTCGGGCATTACTAGCTGATATAGGTGCAGGTGTGAAAAGAGTAAGTGGTGGCCAAACAAAAACATGGCATCAATCCATGAAATCCTTGACAGTTAAACTGAGTCAAGTAGGGAGATGCAGACTTCCTGGTTGGGGCCCTCGGGACTCTAAGAATCAATGGGTGGAGACACTAGGTGACATGGCTCAAAATCGTTGTCAATGGCGCAGATGTATTCAGTCTCTGTAATCTTTCATATTCCTTTCTACCATTGCTCATTCTGTTTCACTCTTATACTTGTCAAAACTCTATTGATTCTCTTCACTCATCTTCTTGTCTTGTCTACCTTTGTGTGCTATTTGGAACGTGGCAACTCGAACTGCTGCACTTCGGTGCCAAGTTCTATGTTGAATCCAGACAGACAGACAGATGCAAACTTGAAGCTGAGCAGACAAAAAGCGATAAATCGGTGGTAGAGGCAGTCAAGACAGGACATCGGTTGAATATATGGAAGATAGAAATTATAAGCATACCCGATAGCCAACAACAAAATAAAGTTATCCACTTGACTTACCTGGGCAGTATCGTATCATGTACATAGGTGGCACGGATGAGTATGTCAGGATCAGGAAAGGAAACACAAATGTTTATTACTCAGAAATCAATGTGGAAACGTAGAGTGCTTAGTAAAAGGAACAAGATTTAAAAATTTAGCACTAATATGAAGTCAGTGCTTCTAAATGATTCTCGAAAATCTTTTCCAATAGGTTCCCGACTTTCATCAACAGCTGCTTTCACTGTCTGGACACTGAATTTCAGATAGCCAGTAGTCGTCGGTAAAGGCTAAACAACAAGGAACTTTGGCAACGAACAAACCAAGAATCTATTACCCAACAGATATGCAGAAGAAAACAGAGATGGATTGAATATGCACTGGTGATATCATTGATTGTAATCACACGCAAGACCTTCTGGTGGAACTGGAGTGGGAGGCAAAAAGTTAGGCGTTACAAATAAGATTATGTGAATAGGAAATGAAGACTTGTAGACAGTCGTAGAGACAGTTGAACATGAATGATGTGAGAGGACTAAGTGCAATTGAGATGTTCCCTTTGGAAGACAGGGAATGAATGATAATTATATGAACAGTAGTTCTTCTTGTTAAGTCATTTTAACAAGAATCATATTTGTGAACAGAATGTCATTTGACCGACATATCGATTTTTATTTAAAATGTTCATCTTTTGTTTCGGTATTCGCTTTGAGAAAGGTATGTGATTAGCTGCGTAATTACTTAGTTTAACATTAACATAATTCATAATCTTGATATAAGCATACTGTGGGATTTTGTCCATGAATCGAGTTTATATAGTCACCTGATGTGATATCTGACTATCGACCAAAGGGCGTGTGTACTGCTCATCAGTCCGCTCCGTCCTCCTTTGAGACCTGGCCATTGAGAGTGGAAGACATGAAAAGATTAGCTGTCTTTGATCATAGGTGTCTGCGTTCTATCTCCCGTGTGAAGTCGTATAATAAGGTGAGCAATATTGAGCTTAGGCGTCGAGTGCTAGGTAAGGAGGGGAAATCAATTTACGAGGCTGTGAAGCTACATCAATTGAGATGGTTAGGACATGTGTTACGTATGCCTATTCATCACCTTCCTCGACGGGCAATGTTAGCTGATATAGGGTCAGGCTGGAAAAGAGCTAGCGGTGGTCAAACGAAAACATGGCACCAGTCAGTGAAATCTACAACAGTTAGTCTAAGCCACGTAGGAAGATGTAGACTTCCTGGTTGGGGTCCTCGGGGCAGTAAAAGACCAATGCTTGGAAACAATTGGTGATATGGCTCAAAATCGTTCTCAATAACTAGCGCAGATGCATCCACTCCTTGTGACTTATGATTTCCAATGAAACTGTTTTGTTCTTCGTTATTACTATTCCTTTGTCTCACACCTCTGTTTACTGTCTCTAATATGCATTTCTCCTACTTTATTCTCTTGTTTTGTGTGCTACATGGAGGGAGTGTGGCGACTGGAACTGCCGCACATATGTGCAAAGTTCTATGTCGAAAACGGACAGAGAGACAGACATAGTCACCTTTCTTAGTGTTGAATATATTTAGGATTCTCACTGGTTTTGTCCACTTGTGACTGACTTTTAATCAATCTACCCAGTGATGATTAAAGTGATATCTGACTCTGAACTAAATTCATATGATCACTTAACTGTTCAACGCATAACCTGGAAGTAAAGTGGGATCTTGTGGACTGCAATTTCAATTTACTTTATGAATCGGATGTCTATATGAGTGATTTTGTAAAGTGCTAACTATTCTCGTTTTTGTCTAGTCTGTGTCAACTTTCTTATTTTCTATTTTATTAGAGGAGTTATTTTGGTATCATATTAAAACTGATGAGTACTTCTTTGCCTAGGGCTTATTTAAAAAAAATGTTGTGGCTTTCATCTTTTGTTCAAGTGTTTATTATTTTTATTTTTTAATCTGTTTTTCTTTTCACTTTAGTCTCTTCTCTCAACATAATATCTGTTGGTGCATTTTCACTTGGATCTGCACGTTATAAAAATGGCGGTCTATTTCGAATGGCCTTCGATACAATGCTTACACCGTCAACACGTTTATATCCTCCATCTGAGCTGTCTTATCTTAATATATCATCAGATTCACCTGTAGCTGCATCGACATGCTTACTGAATACGAAACCAATTGGTAAGGCTATGGATTTGCTCTATCGGGGTACACATGCTACAGCATTGTTAAGATCAGATTTAGGCGGTCTTATCGAGAGATTGAGTGCACCGGGACAAGCTGAACCGTTGGCTCAACGTATGCAAAAAACTGTAAGACATGATTCTTTTTTTGTCTCATTTTTTCGTTACAGCGACCAGATAAATATTTCGTGATATGCTCTTTATATTGCTCATTTGCCTTAGAATACCTTGTGTACTCTTTAAACGATTCATAAATTTAATGAAAATTCGCATTAGTTTTGCACCTGATTATCAGTTTACTACTCATGAGTGAATACCTTCAGCATTGATTTCTTGAAGCTTCAATAAGAATTTGTCACTAGTGAGGTTCACTAGGTAGGGTTTCAGAACTGATACTCATTAATAGCAATGGCTTGTTAACAGAAGATAAAAGTCATGAGCGATAAACGTTCATCCCTATGGCTGACTAGTAACTTGCTAGTCTCACCTGACCATTCTGAACTTGACCTGTCCCTCATAGGGTCGTGGGTGTGCACTGCTAAAGGCCATCTATCAAATTACACTCAATGTGCTCCTGGTTTCTAATGGCCGTGTTAATGATATCGGTTTGTGAGTATGTATAAGCAGTATTTTCTTTCTTATTCACTCTTTGCCATCCAAGTGGAACGTTGGGCTCCAGATATACTGTTCTCTACCGTTGTTTTCAACTGGCTCCACGATTGACCATAAGCTTTTATCCTTCTTGCATACGATCGTCACATCACCCTAGGACACCCAACACGACCCTTCCTTCAGGTTTCACTGGATGACTTGGCATGTGATATCACCCAACGATCTTGTCAAAGTATGTCCAATTCATCTTCACTTTCTTCTGCATATCTATTGAGCAGTAGGTTCTTGACTGGTTCGCTGCAAGATGTCCCTCCTGCGATATCTCTTCTGGTCCGCCTTTTGGCTTGTAGTATTGAACGAAGACGCCTCTTGATGAAAGTCTGCAGCATATGTAGACATGTGTATCATATATTTCTATATTTTGGTTTTTGTACCCTATACCATTCTTCACTTCCCTTAAAGATTGTTTCTTTTAGTATTATCCACGATGATTAGTTATGTAGAATTGTTAGTTTAGATGACCGATGGTAAATGTTAATCCATCATTGGGAAAATTTGAAAGATTTTTCGTTGTTCATGTCTTTTTGTACTGAACTGCAGACGCTAACGAACATAGTACTGTTATGATTATTTGGGTAGAGTAATAGACATGTTTATTCTATGAGATTGACACACAACTTAGAGGATTCGTTGAAGCTTTGGTTCACCAATTAAGACATGTGAGTAGGAATGTACCATTGGAATACCCAAGGTTATAATCTGTAATATTCTTATCTTTGTAGTAGTATGAATTACTAACTAGCCAATGATAGTTGCCGACTTCATGTTTGAGTGTGATCATCATGTCATCATTTATTTTTCACCCTAATTCTTCTTTTGCTTTACTGCGTAATTAAGCAGTGGTTGAGTGGGTGCGGGTAGTGTATCCAGCGTAATTTACTTAGAGCCTTTTTAATCCTGAGTAAATTTATTTACTTTCTATAAGTTAATGTTCACATCAAACTGGCCGAGACTAAATCATAAACGAGATAAAACAATGAAGATTACAGCATAGTCAAATATAATATCTAGAAAATCAGTTATATCAGGTTTTCAGCAATTCTATATGTTAGAGATATAAAAAACGGAAACTTTGTGACTAGCTTACTGTAAAAGCTGTCCTATCTCTCTCATCCTTTATGGATGGGACTGTTTGAGTTGTTTATCTCAAATTATGTCTAGAATGTTAAAGGAGCCATTTAGTAATGGACGATTAATTGTTTTTATGTAGAGTTTTATCCTTCCAGTTCATTTTTCTCTGAAAAACCAGCATTCATCATAAGTAAATGAAATATTCATAGTGGTGTGCGTTGATTTACCTATGCATTATGCTAAATCTTGTAGAATCCACCTTTTCTTTTTACAAATGATACTCTAATTGACTGCTGTCTATAAAACTAAAAAAAAACTTTGCATCTTTATTTCCTAGGTATCCTCTATACAAGGAATTTTGTCAAATCAATTATTATCTAGTCTAAATGTTGTGACAAATATTTCGTGTGATTTTGAAGTGGTTATCGGTTTGTTAGCACAATTATCATCGTTAGAAATAATGCAAGGATCAATTTCTCAGTAGGTTTTTTTTGCTTCTTGAAATTTTTATAGTTTATCAAATTTATGAGAGATGAATATATATTTTCATGTGGTTTTTGTGTAATTTTCCTTTTGAATTTTTGCATACATTCCTAAATGACACTTATTTTTGCTTATCAAGTACTTCCGAGTTTAACAAATAAAATTCATTAGATTAGCCTGTGAATGTTTTTGGGGTTATGAACAGGTGGGAAAGATATTGGAAACAGAATGCTGTCTAAATTTAACCATAAAGATAACAGCGCCTGTAAAGCATTTTTATTCCTTACTGAATATCTGCGATTTTAATTTATTTCCTTTGAAGTTTATGCTAAGCTGTATATTCCAAAGTGTATTTTATTTTGTATGTCATGGTTGGTTGATGATTTTGGGGTGAAGTGGAAATCTGGCTCACGGCAGTATTCAAAGCAGCGACCCCTTAGAATAACAAGTATGACGCTCATACCAGTTGAGCTATCAAACCTGACTGATATTCCACCCTGTTTTATAATTTCTTAGACAGCAGTATTCACAATTGTCATCCGTTATACGATGGATGCTTGATGAAAAACAAGGATGTTAATTAATAGTTTTACTTAAATAAATGGCATTAACGAGTGGTTTTGAGGTGGATATAAACCAGTCATACTGAGTTGTGATCAATAGACTCATCAGTGAGTTACTAGTGTCACTGGATTCGATTACATGACAATGTTATGCTGTGAATTAAAAATGTAGTGTTTCGAAGTTGTTTTGCTTATTCACTGCATAGTACATTATAGAAGCGGTTAAATATTTTCGATTGCTGACCTTTGTGTTAGAATGAAAAAATTAGAGTGCCTTAGTGTTAACTGCAATAAAGGGAATTACGTCTGGTGGACATAAAGGTTAATATATTTATTGAAGTATAATATTCGTTTCGCCTAATTATATTATTGTTATTATTCCCTTGGGTTCCAAGTGGAACAGTACTCCTACATTTTTTCTGGTTCCCTACAGCCCTCTTCAGCAGGCCCCACGAATGCCCATAAACATTCATCTTCCCATCACACAATCTGCTCCATTTCACCCTTGAAGTGATGTCCAACTCTTCGTCTCCCACTTGGATTCCATTTGGGCGATGGCCGTCTGGTGCATGATGTCATCCGACGGTCTCCTCACCGTTTGGCCGATTCATCTCCATTTTTTTAGGGCGTGTTTGTTGTCTGCCAGTTAGTCAGTTTTTTTTTATTTATTGTAACTTATCTATCTAATGTATAGTGTCTAGATAAGCCATTTCAATGAAGAATTGATTATTTCTAAGTCGTATGTATTGAAATGAAGTGATTAGATCTTTGACTTGATGAGGGTTAAGACATTCTCTTATTTAATCACTCAGGTACCAGTGGAGTACATCTTGATTTAGCCCTGAGCCTGCATTTAGTGTGCAGTTCTTCTTTGGTACATCAATCATGATGCTTTATAAGCGAAACTCGTTAATATTATTCTGTGTATTTAAAGACACACTTAAACTATCTCTCTCTTTTTGTATTTACATTAGATAATTCTTATTGAATTTACTATTCTAATTTTCTTGGTCTTCTTCTGTTTACATATTATATATAGACAACAATCCAATGAAAATATAACTAAAAATAAACAAATTAGTCAATCTCGTGAGGAGTTAATAAATGCATTGAGTAAAGCTGGTCAAAAGTTATCAATAACATTAGAGCATATATGGGATAATGTATCATCAATCCTATGGAATTATGTCCTATCAGGTCTTGCTGATTTATCCAATCAACAAATGCCATCGACTGGGGATAAAGAAGCTGGTGGTAATTATTGTGATTTAATCAGTGAAGCAGAACGTTCAACTTATCCTAATATGTTACCAATCAATAATAATATACTAACAGCTATTTCTGTTCTACAAGATTCTTTCAGTTATCGACATCATGCTTGTGTTTGTCAGGTAAATATTAATTATACAATTTTTTTTTAATTATTCCTTCACGTTCCCCAGTGGAACATAGGGCTTCAAGCTAGAGGCTTGAAGTTTCTGTAGCAGTGTTTATTTTACAGGATGGGGTTGCTAGCCTCATGCCCAACCTTCCCTCTTTACCAGCTTTCTATTTCTGGCTTAGCGAGGTAAAGGAGTGCGTTAGCCGGGGATCGAACCCTGGACCATGTGCATGATTGGTGAGCGCCCTAACCGCTGTACCACCGACGCACATATATATACATATATTCCTTCCCATTCCCAGTGGAACATAGGGTTTCAGGCTTCAGCTTTGAAGTTTCAATAACACTGGTGCCATTTTTACGGGGTGAAGTTGTTAGCCTCACACCCAACCTTCCCTCTTTACGGGACTTACTAGTGAATTAAGAGTGCGTTGGCCAGGATTTGAACCCAAGACGAAATACGCAGTTGGCGAGCATTTTACGGCTGATCCACCGACGTACAATACAGTATTGTGGCGTGCGCTACTGATAAGATTTATCAGTAGTATACGTATAAAGAGATGTTATCTGCATAAAACATCAAATAGCAGGGAGATAGATTTGATGTTAGGGAAAGTAAATGATACAGCGTTGCGGAGATACATAGGAGACGTGAAAGGAACACAGAGGAACACAATATGAAGAACAGAAGTAGCACAACACTGAGGATCTGTGCAAATAGTGTGTTGAAGATAAGGTGTACATAATTTCGCTATATAGATATACCGAATTGCTTAAGAATCATTGCTTTACCAGGCCTTTCGTCTTCAACTGTTACAGTATTTGTCATGTATAAAGAATTCAGTTGACATATATGCATATATGTATATGTAAATTTCTAGAGATTGGTTTACGTGCAATTTTGTGATTATTTCGCTTACTAATTAATCAATATAATGAACTTTAATGGTGTCTGACAATTTCTATTTTTTTCTTATAACATTGTATTCTATAGTAAGATTCACAGTGGTGTACCGTCGAAGGTCAAATAGGCTTTTCACCTTAACATAAATTGTTTGTTTAACTCCTTGATAAGATTATGAATCTTCACGCTAAGAGCATTTTCCGTCTCTATCTCATTGTCTTTATAATGCTTCAAACATGTGTTCTAAGGAGAAATAGGGTTGAACACTCACCAATGGTGGTGGTTTGGCTTTCAGAGAGTATCACTATAATTAACCCAATACGTATGAAAGGTTTTCATTTCTTTTTGTTTTCTTGTTTCATTCTTCTGTATATCACTATTACTACATACTATTTTGTGTTGCTGATACACTGTTTAAGTGGAATTTCTCTTTACAATTGAAGTCTTCTGAACATCTAGTAATTTTGGGCAGTTACTCCAAGTTTGTGTCTGAGTCTATGTATGTAAGGGAAGAGAAGCCAGATAATGAGGTTGTGAAGGTACATTGACTGAGATGATTAGTACACTCACGTGTTGCTCATTTCGAGCCAACACCTTTACCGGCGGGCAGTGTTAGCTAATATAAGATCGGGTTGGAAAAGAGTTAGGTGAGGGGGCGGGGTCCACACCGAAACATGACGTCAGTTCATGAAGTATTTAACAGTTGGTTTGAGTCAGCTAAGGAGGTGTAGACTGTCTGACTGGAGTTCTCAACACCCTGAGAACCAATGGCTTGAGGCTGTTATTGATGTGGCTCAAAATTGTTGTCAGTATTGCTGATGTATTCATGTTTTATAATTTTTTAAAGACCATTCAATCCTCTTTATTTCTCATGTAGTTATTCTTTCTCTTGTGTATTTCCATTCATTATAGTTCCTTTGAATTTTCATGGTTTCCAACCTTTCTGTGTTGTATGGCGATTTGAACTGCTACACTTCTTTGCAATGTCCTGTGTTGAGATTCAGTTAGTCATTCAGTCCATGTGTGTGTGTGTGTTGTGCGAAGTGTTACAGATTTCGTGAAAAGACCGATTTAATAAAGACTGTTGTATCTGTCGTTGTAAACTAATTGGTGAAGTTGTAAAGTTAATGGTGATTTGATCCGTTATTTTTTTTTACTATTGGATTCCTTGGGTGTGAATATTTGAATAACGACAGCATTTGAAAAGGGATTCATATCTTTATTTAGTAAATTCAACGAAGATACCTGGTAAAGGATCTCTGTGTCCTGGGTTGATTATATATGACTCACAATTGATGAAGTGTGTTGTTCTAGGTTTGAACTCGAAAGGTTATTGACTAAAATGGGTTAAATCAATTATTTACAGCACATTTCTAGTCAATAATTACGTAGTTAATATTTTTCGTTTAATTGAGTATGTTTCATAGCTCTCATCATCATCATTATAATTTTTCGCATTAAATACTTCTCAGAGTGGTTTCACAATGCATGTGATACTTAAAATACTTATTGCTTGAGTTGAAAAAGTATTTGTAATGATTTGACATTATTCCCACTTTTTTCTCTCTTTAGCTGTTAACTACAGTTCTTACAGCTTTATCAATGCAAATGCCTCGATGGAATCGTGTAGACTGGGAACAGATTGCTGTATGCGGTGTTCTAGTTCAATTTGAAGGTCTTCTTAGTTGTTATGGTGATGAACAAGGTATGATTGAGGATTGGGCTTGGGCAATCGACTATCTATCAACTTATCGTATCACTCTTCGACCGTCTGGTAATTGTTCTGACGCCTTAATTGATAAAAATACAAAAACTTTAGAGAGTAATACATCATCCAATTTTAAGCATTCAAATTCCACTGCAAACCTCACAAACTCTAGTAAAGATCAAAAGAATTCAGAAGAATTTCATTTGGATTTTAAAATTACCAAATTGAATGAGTGCGAGGTAAGAGGAGAATGGTTTTCAAATGTATCTTTATCTTAAAATTCATGTTTGATTTGGATATTTTGTTACTATGCTATGATTTGTGGGCGTACTAACCAAGTTTTGTATGTGTTCTGTATATCAGTAAAGGGTGTAGAATAATAACATTAATTTAATCTATGGAACGCTGTGGTGTGTGCCACTTTTAAGCCGATATAAGTAGTATATACGGTAAATTCTTCGAAGAAGCAATAATAATTTATATCATTGGGAAAGTCAGTGATGATGAAACGTGAGAAGAGGCTTATCACTGTATGAAGAACATGACAAAACATGTATGCATAAAAATTATCAAACTGTATGACATTCGCAAGTATCAATAAAGCCAGAGACTTAAAGTTTCGGTAGCAGTGGTGTTTATTTTTACGGGATGGGGTTGCTAGCCTCATGCCCAACCTACCCTCTTTGCCGGTCTTATTACTGGTTTAACGAGGTAAGGAGTACTTACTTACTTTACTTTACTTCGGCTATCTCCTACGGGAGGATGAGCCGGCTTCATGAACATCTCGAATCATCGCTGCCCAGGCGCGGCGATCTGATGCGGAGTCGTTTGTAAGAGAGTTCAAGGAGTGCGCCAACCAGGGATTGAACCACATATGTGGTTGGCGAGCATTCTACCGCTGTGCCACCGACACACACTTTTAGTATTAATATGTGTAAAAATTATATTTGTATAAATCTCTGAATAACTGAGAATTATACAGATATAATTTTTCCACAGATTTACTTTCTGCTAGGTGTCCAAATATTGTGAGACTATCCGGTCAATTCTTTATCATAGTTCATATAAATCTTGTGGTATTCGTTTTTTTAAAAGTATTTTTCGAATGCAGTATTATCTATTTTATTCTCTCACTCTCTAGCTTTCTGTTCCGTGGAGATCATGGGTTCATGCTCCTTCGGAAATTCAAGCACGTGGTCGTGTACGCATTCGTTTACATCCTGTTTCATTCTTAGTCGGTATCAATGAGTTACAGTCAGTTGCTGAAACGTAGGTTTGCTTAAACTATATGTATATATCCTTCCCTTTTTTATATTACTTTTTTTTCAACACTATCATTGCTGTGTCTTATTTTAACCCTGCCTAAATTTTTCCTTTGTCAAATTAAGCTATGTGATTTAATATGGGGTTGTGGAAACTTGTTTTACTGTATGAGTGTTTAGTACAAATCAATGGTTACTTGCAGCTTCGCATTCAATGGGTTACATGTAGTATGTCTGATTAGGTCTCTTCATTTATGAATGTGAATACAAACTAGTGATATGCTGATTCAATTGGTGACAGTCTTTTGTTATTGGATGTATACTGAGGATATTACTTATGCTGTATACAGTTATACAGTTATTAGAATAAAGCTAAGTTGTACTACTTCGTCACAAATCATACTTATTCAAGTGTTGGTTTGCAGTGATTTGATTGGTTTGAGGATTTCATCATGAACTGATATCAGTTAAAAAGTCATTGGAAAACCTGGGAGTGCTAGACAGCTGTTTCGTTCTAGTTTGGGACTCTTCAGCAGTACGTTCGTACGCGGCAGGACGTTCCGGTGCGTACTCCCTATGAGTCTCAAACTGTATATAGATATGATTATGTATAGTAATATCATACATATACTTTTATAAGGGTTAAAAGGTTCGATACACTGTGAGGTGTTGTGTTGCAGATTTTGTTTTTTTAGGGTAAACGTTTCAGTGACACTTTCAAACAGAACTTAATGTGCAGGGGGATAACTATGCAAAGGATAGAGATTGAAGTTGATGGTTTATTTGTTGATTTGCAGGCTACTGGGATGAAGGTTGAACTGAGCATGAAGCTTTTATTCTATCTTAGAAATTGATATTTGAAAATTTAATCAGTTACAATCAAACATCTTCATCGGCTCTTGCATTTTATGTTCTTCTTTGGTTATGATATTTATTTCTACAACCTTTGAAAGAGATAGAACACGAAACACATGATTAATGTCGCTTTCATAGTAGCTTGTTGTTTTCTAGCACTACAAAAGGGTTACCGTTGAGTTAGGGGACCAAATTTCGTTTTCAGTGTGATTGTTGCTCTTCCACAGTCTTTGATGCGTCTGCATCTCTTGACTGCCTAAATTTGAATTTTACCATTTCAATTTTTTTTCAGTATGCTCACATTCCAATTCTTTTATTTTCAAGTTTAGATAAAACTGCTGTACAGTCTGCTGTGAATAATCATGGTTTAAAATGTTTACGTGCTTATTTCGACCGATACACAAAACATTTTGGTGCACCAGGTGAATATGAATTTTTTATTTATTCATAATGTTATTCAATTTAATGAAAGGTGTTATATCAACTCATGTTACATATTTTTCACTAACGTTGCCCACTGAATTTCAGTGTAACTTTTAAAGTCTATCGTCGTGAAAGTGGTGGTTAACACTTCTCCGTAGATCTATTTGATATAGGAATAGAATTTAGGTATTGGGGTACAGAATAATTTTATTTGGTAAGCAACAGTGTTACAGTATTATTTACTGATTACTTTTTGAGTAGAATATACTGTTCATAATCGACAAATCTCGCTACATACCTTTCACTTTTATTTTATATTTTGTCTGAACAGCTAACGGCTTCTAATTTATGTGTTGTGAACAGCTCCTAAGTTTTTTTTTATTGATAGCAGTTAGTCTAATTGTTCAGGGAATAATTGTTCTCCCTATCTCCCTAGATTTGTAGAGAGAGTTTAAACGAAAAATTCTCGATTCCTAAATTTACTACTTGTGAGTAGTTTGAGGTGGAAACGTGAATATTCGGTATCACCGATCTCCCTATGAACCCTCAACATCCACTTTCACCGCTTGATGATCACATTGCGAACTTTAGGGTTTAATTATGCTTTTCTGATCTATACTAAAAGGTGCTAAAGCTACGTTAAGTAGGCGATCTTTTCAAATGGTTGCTACCATCATATATATAATTATTTACTGATAATTCATAGGTGTCATTGTTGTTGTTTGTTTTGTATCAGTTAGTAGTCCTATATTTATATTTATGGAGTAGACTGTAATTTATTTGAAATTGAAGTCGTTTACATTTTTACAGAAGGGAGACTTTCAAGTGTGGAACTAATGTACTTGTTGAAATAAAAGAGTTGTTTAAATAGAATGCGTTTATAGCCTATCCCAGCAATAATGCATATTGTAACGGTAAAGTCAGTTGATATGTTCAGGTAATGACAAAAGCTTGATGGTCTATGAGCTCTCCTTGTAACCAGAACGTACTGGGTTCAAACCCTGGCGATGGGTGCGTACTGATGAAGAATCCCAAACTAGGACGAAACAGCTGTCCAGTACTCACAGCTTGTCTTCCAATGGTTCTTTAACTGATATCAGTTCATGATGAAATCCCCCAACTATGATATATTATCTGGATATTTGAGATTGAATTACGAATTGGAAATTTTTTGATCTGTTTATTTGGATGGCTTCAGATTTCTTTCTCGTCTGTTACCGTAAGTGTTGCTTCATAGACGTATCTACGTCCGCAGGGTTCAAAGCTGAACATAAAAAATTACATTTCCATGATTTCATGCTAGTACAGGTGACCTATTAAATTATAAAGCGTATGTTTTTACTTGTATCCTAGTAGCTCTTATTCAGACTGGTGTGTTTAGGGGCATCCCCATAGTAGTAGTAGTAGTAGTAGACTAAGCTTGTTACTTTTTTATATTTTGGCTAAATTCTTCATGAATTCATATAGAGCGAAGTGTGTTTCAGGCATCAGTTATAGGTAAGGTAATAGACAACTTTAATTTATCTTTATAAATCTGGTAAATTCATTGTCGGTGGGTTAAATTGCACAGTTACAATTATGACATACACCTCTTACCTTAAAACTGATAATACTTTCTTATATCACAGCGTGTTATTAATTCATAAGTGACATTTTATTGGCAGTATTTTCTGAGCACCTAGTATTGAAAAGCTATTGTATAGACACTTAATGGATAAAAGATTAATGGAGTGTTTATTGCATTAACTAACTTATTTACTGGGAGAGGTGTTTCTTATGTAATTCACTTTTATTATTATTGTTATTTGAAGACTGATGATACTAGTCAATCACTCGAATTGAAAGCACAAAAGTGTGCAGTTTAGTCTCATAAATGTTTTTCTAAAGTTGAGAATTTATGAATAAAATTTTTCATTAAATAAACAATATGTAAAACGCCATTAGGTTTCTTAAAGAGGTTGAATCCGAGAGTAAATTTTTTGTCTTTACTTAACTGTTTAGTAAAAAGGCAACCAGATGGTCAACTTAAAATAAACATTTTCAGAAAACCGACACAATGGGACAGATACCTAGATTACTATTCAGCACATCTCTTTATCACCAAAGTAATTATGACCAAGAATCTGATTAACAGAGCCAGACGTGTAGTTACTGAGAAACTGACACACAGGTAAATATAAGAGTGAAAGAGCGTAAACAATATCTAAAGGTGCTTGCGAAGACTTGAGGAAGCTGGAAAACAGATCGGTGATTGCACTGCACTCAATAGAAACAGGACACAAAATCGATTTTGATAGGACGAAGGTTCTACAAAAAGGTTTTGGTTGGTAAACAGAAAGACTGACTGCAGAAGCCTTGCATATATGGGTGAATCCCAAAAGTTTGAACAGACGTGAAGGTGATTTTAGCTGATGCATGACAAGTCCTGATTAATAAATAAAAATGGATATTGAAAACATTTATTTCCCGATACGAATTTAAAACAAGCCATAAAGATCAATAAAGCAGGATTTAATGAATTCATCAAATTTCGGTAGAACTCGTCAGCTGAATACTCTACATACACGGATATACATACTTTTGAAATTACATTGGGAGATATAAGACTGATAAGTAAGGACTGATAAGTTAACTTATCAGTCCTATATCTCCCAATGTAATTTCAAAAGTATGTATATCCGTGTATGTAGAGTATTCAGCTGACGAGTTCTACCGAAATTTGATGAATTCATTAAATCCTGCTTTATTGACCTTTATCGCTTGTTTTAAAAATGGATATGTACCACTAAACAATCATACTTAGTCAAAATTCTCCGATTGTCTGTCTATATCTTCTTATGGAGAGGCTGATAAATGATTTACAATTGTTGCCGCATACACATGCACACATACACACCATTGTATACCGCTTATACACATATATTTTTCAAAAGAATAGACACGGAACAAAGAGAACTCTTTTCGATAAATTTATCATCAGGTTCTACAATTATATATACATTATAATGAATGAATGAATTAGTCATATGAACGACATTAATGTTTAAATAACATCAAATCAGTAATATTGGTAAATTACAGCTGAACAGCATCAACATAAAATAAACTGAATGTCAGAAGAATTAGGAAAGGTAATAGTATAAATTCATGAGTTTATAGTCTCTACTGAGGGCCAGGGTAGTAGTAGGGGCTGGACTTGTTTCTTTTGGACACAGAGCGCTGGTTGTTTGAGGCGAATTGAATAGCCTCTGCTGTTTGGAGTAAGCGGTGCTTCGACGACTTTGGTAGTTTGTTAGGCACCCGGTATATTATAGAGAAGGACTCTTCTACGCTGGCTTTGTGACCGGTTTGCACCAGATGGTCTAATATCGAGTTGTTAATAGTTTTATTATTATTATTATTTCCTTTAATTCCTAGAGGTGTAACAACAGAAGACAAGGCTGGCAACAGATCAGTTTTATTACGATAACCAACATGTATTTATATGCATTTTACATACATTAATAGACTTCTGCCCGCAGAAAGAAGGCGGTCTTCTGATTGGTTGTTTGCACACAAACGCAGTCTTCTGCTTTCTCGTTTTCTATGTTTCTCGGAAATGCGAGCCACTTGTCTGCGAATCATATTTGTCCATGTCAAGGTCAGCTGTGATTGGTCCTTGAATCAGCCTAGATTAATTTCTACCAATCAGCGTAGATCAATGTCTACCAATTGGCTAGCAGCTTGCTCTCACCACACTCGTCCCCCCGTCAAATAGCTTTGTACGCAGGCGTTCCGACCTTCTTGGTGCTACATTCTCTAGTTGAGGATTGTTGCTGATCGGCTTGTCCCACTGTACCCATCGTTGGAGCTGACTGGCATTAACTCGTTTCTGTTTGTCACCTCTTCGGATGGTATATACTTGACCCCGTCTTTTTGTGATTGTGTATGGTCCTTCCCACTTTGGCAGGAGTTTCCGTGAACCTGGCCCGCCTCCAACTGTATATCTCCTGTCTCTACACTTCACTTGGTCCCCGACTGCAAAGGTGATGCACCGCGTCTTTTCTTTCATCTGAGACTTCGCGACATCACTCCGCTGCTTCCGTATTACATTCTTGACGGCCTCTTTCCGCTCTGCTTTTAATTTCGTCGTACTCCACTTTTGGTGAAGGGGCCAGGTCTCGTTGTGTATCGGTAATCGTGGTTTTCTACCATACATCAGTTGAAAGGGTGACTTCTTCGTTGTTTCCTGAGTGGTAGCCCGATGCGTCAGTAAAATCAGTGGAAGCTCCGTTTCCCAGTTACCGCCCTTCGAGGCCAGCCACTCCTTCAGTGTACGGTTGTTTCTCTCCGTTAGGCCATTCGTCTGTGGATGATATGGGGTCGTTCTGATCCTCTTGACGCCCAGCTGTTGCAAACGGGAAGTAAATTCTTCACTTTCGAAACAGGGACCTTGGTCCGTCAGTATCGTCTTTGGTACGCCGTGGTCTGCAACGATGTGTTTAACTACTGCGTCTGTCACGGTCTTTGCACGTTGATCTGGGATCGCTACGGCGTCTACCCATCGTGTCGCGTGTTCCGTCATCACCAGGAGGTACTGATTACCATTAGATGTCTGCGGAAATGGACCCATAACATCTACGGACCACAAGTCACCTATCGCCGTAACTGGAATCGACTGAAGCGGTGGTCGTATGCACCGGTCGCCTTTCATTAGCTGGCACCGTGGACATCCAAGTACGTATCTTGCTACGTCCTCTCTCATACCTGGCCAGTACATGCTTTGTCTTAGGAGGTCAGTTGTTCTGGCCACGCCTGTATGTGCTAGCTGGTGACATTCTTCTATCATGTTGTGGCGCGAGGACTGAGGTATGATAGCCAGCCAGCTTCCGTCGTTCTCTCGCCAGGTCAGCGTCCCGTAGGCATTCACTCTTAGTCGATCTCTCTGTCTGAGTAGTGTGGTTAGCTCCTTACTCGCCGTAGCTTGATCTACTTCTATCCCGTTGGTTATCACCTGTATCACTGTATTCAGCGTATCATCCAACCTTTGCTTGCGTGCAAGTTTTAGGGGGTCTTGCTCTACAGCATGCACTCCGTAAGCGACCTCGGGCAACTCAGGCTCGTCTTCTGGTCTCGATAACAAATCTGCCAAGACATTTTCACTTCCAGGAACGTGTGAGATGGTAAAATCGTACTCCTGAAGACGCAACATCCACCGTGACAATTTCCCCCGTG